GTTGGTTTAATTAGGGCCATTCTCGAAGCTCTTCACATTCAAGTTATTATAAATGGATGTCCTTCTCGAGATAAGGGCTCCAGACTTGTGCTGCGTATTCTAAGACTGGCCTTACGAGAGATTTGTACAGCATAGAAAATATATTTACAGTGTTGTTGGAATTGTAACATTTGACCTAACTGGTTTTCTTCCCACCAATCACACTATTACGAAAGCCGAGGAGGGTCTTCCGTCTTCCGACTTCCAACTTCCCACTTCTGATTTCCAACTTCCAAGTTCCGTACCACTGAAAGGCGGTGATAGGCCTACACGACTTTTACCTTATGCTAAAATGCTGCTTGTTCAAAAGGGTTTTTTTCCCTTCTGCTGGGTAGATTATGCTCTAGAAGGTTTTGGTTAAGCCGCCTATTTCACATTCAGAGGTAATGGCACACATATCGGACATATCGATTTACTGTGGTTTTTGTTTCCATTCGGCCGGATTTGCCCTCTGATATCGATGCAAGAGCATATTCTTTAAAGCTTTCAGTATTAAGGCCGAGTAAGGGCTCTAATTTTCTCCAAAGCGCTTTCTGGACCTGAATAACTATGTGACTGTTTTTAGTCCGTCAATTTGCAATGCTGTATCACGCAAGGTCCAGCTCGTTAGTTTTCTTTGCAGGATGTTAAATTATCACGGATAGTGATTTACAAATCCAAAGTTATAAGATTGAAGTGCAGCTTAAAATGAAATCAACTATGGAGAATCATAGTTAGTAGAGGGGACCCCTCTATTAACTATGGGAGAATGCATTGTGACTCAGTAGAATCCAGCTTAGTGTTTTTCTAAAGAAAATGTGAGTCTTTTGACTGGAGCGCGTAATTCCTTCCTTGGTTATAGGTTTTTAATAAGCTTAACAGTGTTTGGACTGTTTTGTTTTCACTGTTGCCACTTTGTGATCAAGCAAGACCATAATTTCAGTTCCCCAAGCGAACCTCATCACTTGCCTGATTGGCTTTGTTCTTAGTTGCTTTTACAAGAGCAACTTTAGTTGTTCTCTTTTGTGGCTAGAGCGGTACAGCCGTTCTTTCTACTGAGCCTTGACCTTAAGTATTAATACCAGCGTGGCGGATCGAGCGGCAATCGAGCCCGACAGAGGAGTTCAAGTCGGCAGTGGGAAGTCAGATGTGGGAAGTTGAAGTGGGAAGTCGGAAGTTGGAAATCGGAAGTCGGAAATCGGAAGTGGGAAGTGGCAAGTCGGAAGTCAGAAGTGGGAAGTGGGAAGTAAGAAGTGGGAAGTGGGAGGTCAGAAGTCTAACCATGCAGCATTGAGTCTCAACGGTCAGAAATCAGAAATCCGGAGTTCGAACTTTGTCAAGTCGGAAGTCTGAAGTTTGAAGTATGAAGTCTTAAGTCTGAAGTCTGAAGTCGGAAGTCGGAAGTCGGAAGTCGGAAGTCGGAAGACCCTCCTCGACTTTCGTACGTTATTGCTTACATTACAATGGCATACCGGATTTTGTGAGGAAACATTTGATGTTAACAGTAGCTCAAACAACGCAAAATATTTGAAATTTAATTGTCAGAAAGTCGAATCTACAAAAAAATGGCAAACTTCGGCGATCATCCGGGAGATTTCAGACTCTAATCTGGAGACCGGGAGAAACGCTTCAAACTCTGGAGTCTCCCGGATTATCTGGGAGAGTTGAAAGCCCTGTGTTATGGTTATGAAGACGTGCAAGGAAATGAAAATGGGGAACAGTTTACAATAGTACAGGCTAGTCGTTGACATGCATTGGTCTGCATTCTGTTTACTTCATTGGTGGCAAAGGAATTTCGAGAATGCGCATGAGTATAGGCTACTTTGAGCCTCTTGTTATCTGAAAAACACGAGTCTTAAGTCTCTGTTCGATGTTACGTCTTTATTAATGACGACAGAAACCTCAAGCAACCACAACAACAGCGGCAACACTAAAGAACGTTAACAAAACATGAACAAACAATGTTTATAACAATCACCGCATTCATCTCCGGGGGGGGGACTCCCATATGAGAGGGGCGGGGATGCTCGTCGGGAATTTTGAATTAAACCACAAAAGGAGACCAATTTGGGCGTGGCCCAACCTTTTTGACCCCTAAAAGAGATCATTTTAAACTTAAAAAAGTAAAACGAATTGAAAATACACAACTTTTTTATATTTCTTCGCGTGCAACCCTAAAAGAGACCTTTACGGCTAAATATAATGGTTTGAACAGAGCACCGTAACTGAGACCAAAATCCTTAATTTACACTCTTAAGCGAGACGACGAGCATCCCCGCCCCTTTCATGTGGGAGTCCCCCGGGATTCATTTTTCTACAGTGGAACCTCTATATAACGAACGATTTTCTTCAACCAGGCCAAAATCACATAATCGTGTTGTTTCTTACACTTCTCTAGTGTCTGGAAGTCGTTATAAGCAGTTTCGAGCCGTAGGTTTTTTACATTTGGGGAGAGGAGGGGGAGGGGGGGGGGGGGGTTGTTAAAAAAGAAAAAACGTATGTAAACTTTGTGGGTATTAGAAAATGCCGTTTGTTCTTCTTTTACGTTTTGGCGCGGAGTCTCCTCGCCTGAATTCTTTTTAATTCCCCATGTCTTATGTTAAATATAAGAGTCTGAAACGAGCATGGTACCTGCTACCACAATCCTTAGTGTACACTCTGAAGCGGGACGACGAGCATCCCCGCCCCTTTCATGTGGGGGGGGGGCGGGAGTGGGGTTTCTGGGGTGCGTCTGTAAAAAAACGAAGACCCTAGTCAAATTTTTTGGTAATTGATAATCGCCGTTGTTTCTTACACTCCTCTGGTGCCTAGAGGTCGTTATAAAAAGCAGTTTCGAGCCGTTTCCAAGTGATATTGAGTGATATTGAGGTGGGTCTTCGTTTTCTACATTTGGGGGGGAGGGGGGGGGGTTTAAGTGAAGAAAACGAAGACCCTGGTCAATCTCATTGATAATGCAAAATCTTTTTGTTTCTTACACATCTGAGGTCGAGATACCCGTTTTAGCTATTTAAAAGTGATTTTGACGGTATCTTCGTTTTTGGGTCTTAGGTCTTAGGTCTTCGTTCCCTGCCCAACCCCTGAAAGGGACACAAACATGGCGTCTCCATGCTTTATAAATTTGGGTAAAACCGTTTTCCGAGTATCTCGCATATGAAATAGTACACAGACCTGATTCTTGCCAAGGCTTTTTGTATGTTTATCTTCTTTCATTTCCCAGATTCTAGATTTTCTGTATTAAAGGGTTTCCATTTTTATTTTTGATGGCGTGACAGTGAAAACCACCGTATAGGCTTTTCTACATTATGCTAGCATTTTTTCGAGCATTTTAGTGAGGCAAAAGCATTGAGCATTATTCCAGCATTTTAGTGGCATTTTCCCCGGAAAATTAATTTTTCCGAGAAAATAAAATAGAAATTAACTTTTTTCAGGAGCCCATGCCCCATGAGCTCCTGCTTTTTTAAACAAAATTAAAATGAAGACTAAAATTCAAAATTCACAAAAACCTAATACAGCTGGGGTTTTTGGCTGTATTTATGAACTTGTACACGTTGTCGTTGTCACTTGCAACACTTGCACGTTTTTGTAAGTGTTAACTTTGAAATTAATTTAAAAAACCGTTTGTATAATGAGCATTATCCGAGCATTTTAGTGACTTTTTTGGGGAGACCGAGCATTTAAGTGAGAAAAATGGAGCATTAACGTGGAGCATTTTAGTAGGGAAGCAAAAGCATAATGTACAAAAGCCTACCACCGTAGCGTTCGAATGACGTCAGAGTGACTAATTTGCAATTTTTGTCTGAGCTTTGTCATTTTCCTCATTTTAATGAAAGAAGACCGACAAAAATATGACATTTTAATGACAAAAGTGTAGTCTGCTACACAGCCCTTTTTAGGGTCGTCAGGCAAAGCTCCTTCCGACAAACGGCTGCTGAGAATTAGACTGCAAAACAGTCGGTTTTTTTGTCAAAATCAGTAAAGATATCGGTAAAGCTTGGCGTTAAGGGCGTCTCTCCCCAGTCTCGCTCTCTGTTTTCAGCCTCGTTTGACTGCTCGGGCGTACATAAGACCTGTTTTGTAGTCCAGGTGAGAAACTTTCCCTTTGTGTTTGTGTTCTGACGAACAAACCAATCATGTATGAGAAATTTGGCAACACTTCTTAATTTACGACAAATCAATCAATCGTCGCTGAATATAGGACGGCGGGGCTTTGTGTCTACAAGCTAAGAAAAGGTGTTAATTAAAATATGCGGAAAAGTTCCAAGTTTAATAAAAAGAAAAAGGTTTGATAGACCTACAAGACTCTTACCAGGATCGGTTGGTTCTTTTTAACGTGCATATGTCCGGGGGCACATGTGTGATGAACGTGCTCACTGTGTTGCTCCAAGGTGCACTACATGGGAGGACTATAAAACTCCCAAGGGTACTGATTGAAATTTTAATTTAGAATTTCAATTTATTTTAATTTATAACATCACTTGATGTTTTTTTTTTTGCAGGGGAAACACATCCAGCTGTCGCTCTCTCGCTCTCTTTTGCCACAGAAAAGATATAAAAAAATCTACCCCTCGCGCTTCGCGCTCGTGAAAAAAATTGAGTTCGACTTGTAGGCAAGTCTATTCGATTCTCAGCAGCCGTTTGTAGCGGCTGTGTGGCAGACGGACTAACAAAAGTGAGGAATTCGCTAATTTCAGTTTGTTTGTCTTAGCTACGCGCCTATAAATAGCAACTGCACGCAGCTCTATTGAACATTAGTTCATTGTGCACGGTCAGGTCCAAGGCCAGGTCCAAAATATAACAAGGGGTTTCCCTGGGGTTTCCCAAGGGACCAAATAAAACCGGGCTGGTCAGCGCTCCTTTTCTTTCAAGGGCTCATACAAATACCCGGCCGCCCGGGCCGCCCGCTTCCCTAAAGACATTCAATACGTATGTCTAGGGCAGCATGCAAGGTGGTATGCTTTCCAAGTAACTACAACATAGCAAACATGCTAGCTAGAAGGGTTAACAGAAGGACGGCATTTTGCCTTTTTTTTGCCATCCCGACATTCTTCATTTTTAGTTGGAACAGCTTCTGTGGTTTACACTTTGCCCCATTTTCACAGCGTTGCGAAGGCTGCTTTAATTCGGAAGGGAAGAGAGAGAACGAACCAGCAAACGAAACCGGCGAGGCTGAACTAGAAAAGACAGAAAACAAAGGAAGAACATTTGAACTTAAAACCACGCTCATTACAAACACAACCTGTTCACAGCATTATTTCCTCCTCATACTGGTATCGTCAGCTCCTTCGAATTTCCAAAGAAGAAGAGACATCCGCAGAACTTGGGGAGTCGACACCGCTTTAGCACCTCGATGGAAGACAGTTTTTCTTGTCGCTCAATCAAGGGCGAAGGAAACGACCGAATCACTGTCGAGAGAACACAGTTCTTACAGAGATCTATTGCAAGGCGACTACATCGACCACTACTGGAATCAAACTCTTAAGATTCAAATGGGCTTTGAATGGGCTGTAAGGTATTGCAATTTCACTTTTTTGTTAAAAATGGACGACGATACTTTTGTGCATACGAAAAGGCTGATTTCCGTTTTGAGCACGTTTTCTTCAGAACAGCTGTACTTGGGAATGCTTTGGGAAAAGCCGTTGGTAAAAAGAGGCAAAGAAAAATGGACAATTAGTTATGAAGAATACAACAAAACGCTATACCCAGATTTTTGCCCTGGTTTTGGGTTTGTCTTAACCTTCGACGTTGTTAATACGTTCGTCGATTTGTTTGACGATGTCCCGCTCTTTAGATTTGATGATGTTTATGTTGGCATGCTTGCAGAGAGAGCAGGTGTGAACGGTACTTTTCACCCTGGTTTCAGACAATATCCCTCGCCGCCACAAGTCCCTTGTAGTGTAGATGAAACAGTTTTCGTGTGGCATGATATAACCGGAGACTGTCTGTTGAAACTTTTTGAAGACACGTTTTAATATCGACCGCCTGCTCGAACTCGCATCATGACCTTTCCGATTGATTCACTGATGCATTTGTGGTCGTCTGCACGGTCACGCTATCAAAACTGACAAAAATCAAGACGGCGGCCATATTGAATTAATTAGATATAAGGAGTATTATAGGATGCCCAGGGGGCATGAGCATATTTCGTTTGTATTTTCGAGCGCTTTTCGGGAAATTTTTTCTTAAAGTTTTCTTAGAATAAGATTGTAATGGGAAAAAAGATCCTTGTGCCGTGTTTTGATGTAATAATGATCGCCTTTTTCTAGTATATTATTAGAAATATGGTCTTTCACTGTATATTTCTCGGGAAAAAGCGATCATTATATATCAAAACAAGGCACAAGGATCTTTTTTCCCATTACAATCTTATTCTAAGAAAACTTTAAGAAAAAATGTCCCGAAAATGGCTCGAAAATACAAACAAAATGTGCTCATGCCCCCTGGGCATCCTATAATACTCCTTAAATCTAATTAATTCAATATGGCTGCCGTATCGGTAAAAAAGTCTTACTGGTAAGGGGAAAGGAGTTAAATAGGGCGTATGGAAATCCAGAACCGGAGCAGGAAGTGGAACCGGAACCGGAACTTAAATTGACAGCAGGGTAAACTGGGAAGCACTGAAACCAGTTCCCGATACCCGTGCGGAAATAAAAGTCAGGATGGCATCCTCTGTTATCATTGTTTTGAGAAATTTTCAGCACAGTGATCGTGATACCAAAGATGTACTCATCGTGCAAAAGAGCTTACGTTTGGTTATTTAGTACACGCATGTGTTTTACTTTATCAAACATGCTTACACATCACTCTTAGACACTTTTACCAGAAAAAACAAACAAACAAACAAAATATTCAGTTGTAATTTACATGACTTTATAAAAAAAAGAACATAACCACTAAAATTCAAAGAATCAGCCCATGCTGTTCCGCTGCAGACTCAAGCATAAATTCAAGGCACAACAACTTCACATTTTCACACGTACTCACATTTCAATCGATTCGTCGCTTTGTTGCGAACGAAAACAGATATGTTTTTGTAAAATGGTAACATTTTTGAAACTCAGTAAAACGGAAAAGAATGAAAACTTTTATCTTCTTACTGGTACCTTTGTTAAAAGGGCACCATGTTTTATCCATTGTGAGGGAAAGGCGGCAAAGGGAAGAGGAGTACTCATGTCAATCATGTCAATCAGGAGTACTCATGTCAATCATGATCCCAACTTGCAACGCTCACGCATATATGAAATTCTGGAAGAAAAATTTTGCGCCGTACGCAAAAGATGCGACAGAAAAAATATAATACCAATAAATAAATATAATGTGGAGATGACAAGTCTTGACCGAGCAATTATTGTTAGTGACACTCTCAGGACAGAAACGTCTCCAATTTTTATTTCTTAGGTTCGGGTTCGGGTTCCGTTTCCGTTTCCGACTCCGCTTCCGGTTCTGGATTCCAGCTTTTCCATACGCCCAGTTAAATATGCAAAACGCCACGCTAAGAATCAGGTCGATAAGATATTTCATTTGCGAGATAGTCCGAAAAATGTTTTTTACCCATTAGAAATACTCCTAGAAATTCTTGGTGGAGGTGTGCCACATTGTTCTCGAAATCCTGAGCGTGACCAAAATGCTGTTTTTACACCCATTTTTAGACCTGGTCTCGGTCTCTAACATCCATGGCAGGGTTCACAAACACAATGTACCTGTTTACATAGGTGTAAATCATGTCATCATCTCTTAGAAATAACGTTGGATGATACATTTCAGTTATTATTCACTTATAGGCGATTAAGCCTTCCTCCCTAAATACAGCTGGGACTACTTAGGGCTGGCACTACAGCAAAGGACTGATTTATTATAGGCCAATATTTCGGCTACCAAAATATTAGCCTTCCTCAGAGCCAGAGCTATACTGTACCGAGAGAAAATATCTTTTAAAGGCTCCAAAAATTTAAATTTAAAATTTACATAAGTGGTTAATAATTAACTACAATACTTATTATAAATACTACATAGAATAATATACAGGTAAATGATTATACAATAAAAATAGAAATAGAAAAAGTTCAATGTTCATTCCTTCGGTTCAGACCATCTGGTGACAGGGTTTTGCCTCTATCTATGAGGTATGCTTAATCTCTTGCCTTGAGGTGTGACATGCTGAGAGTGGGTTGTAATTCCAGCAGAATAAGTTCAATGTCTGTGATCGAGTGGCCAGGTTGATTAAAGTAGGAAGGGACTGCTGCTGTGGCGTTTGCGTGGTGTGGATTGTTTGTTACCTGTCTATGTTCTTTGAAGCGTTCACGAAGTGTGCATTCAGTTTCATCTATAATATTGTTTTTTACATCTTTTACAATGGATCATATATGTTAGGTTTGTTGAGTCACAAGTAATGTGATGTTTAATTTGTCTTGTTTCTCCTGTGTTTGTGAAAGTGAATGATGTTTTCCCATGGTTTAAATAGGTGGAACTAAACGCACACTTTGTGAACATAGATCATAGAGCGACAACAAACAATCCACTCCACAGAAACGCCACAGCGGCAGTCCCTTTCCACTTCAATCAACCTGACCACTCGATCGCAGCCAGGGAACTTATTCCGCTGGAATAACAACCCACTCTCAGCATGTCACACCGTAATGCAAGAGAAGCGTACCTCATAGATAGAGGCAAAACCCTGTAACCAGACGGTCTGAACCAAAGGAATGAACATTGAACTGTTTCTATTTCTATTTTTATTGTACAATCATAATTTACCTGTATACTATTCTACTAGTGAATATAAAATTGTAGCTAATTATTGTTAACCACTTATATAAATTTTAAATTTTCTCTCGGTATAGCTCTGGCCCTGAGGAAGGCTAATTTTGATAGCTGAAATATTGGCCTAGAATAAATCAGCCCTTTGCCGTAGTGCCAGCTGTGCATTCAGTTTTGTTTTATTTTACACTTTTTTTTAAGTAATGTCTGGCTACAGCATCCCTTTAATAAGTGATCCGGCAAGAGGAACCAGTCAGTTATATTTACGTCTTACGTGGACCTCTGCATTCAAACAGTTTTTACTGTTTTATGGTAGTCCACTTTCCCTCAGTTTTACCTATCTAAAGCTTTTTTTTATATACACAGTGCGTAGTGTGCATTTTATACCTAGTCCGTGTTTTATACCCAGTCTGCAATTCATGGTCCACAGTGGGCAGTACACGTTTTATACTGACCGAATTGCAAACATTGCGTGATGTTGGGTGGTTGTCATAAAAACTAAGACCCCGAAAACTAAGACCCATCATTTTTCATTGCTAGAAGAGCTGTGGGAAAATGGTGGGTGTTAGTTTTCGAGGTCTTAGCTTTCAGTGTCTTAGCTTTTGGGGTTTTGGGTCTTTGGTCGTAGTTTTCATAACCTATGTTAGCTTTCAGGGGCAAAAACATGGTGGCCGGAATCCAACTGAAACATCTGTCTTTGAGTTTTGACATAAAAGGGTGAATTCATCTCTTGAAGAACTCATAAAGATGAAAGTAGTATTTAATCTGAGACAAGAGCTGTTCAGACAGCAAAATCTCAAAAGATCATCAAATTTTTTTACCGACATGGACGAGTCGCGAGCACTAGATAATCTAGTGCTAGGGTTACCTTAGCGAGAGGGTTACCCGAGAAATTTTCTCGGGTAACCCTTTTGCTAGGGTAACCCTAGCACTCAGGTAGGGTTACTCTAGTGCTAGGGTAACCCTACCTGCCCTGTAAACAGGTCGTGTTAAAAAAAGAAGAAATGTGCACTAGGCCCTGTTTACGAGGGAGGTTACCCCTGGTGCTGAGGTTACACTAGCAAGATGGTTACCCTACCTGCCTTGTAAATGCTGTGCTAGGGATAACTCCCTAGACAGTGAGATAATTATTTGAATGTTAGTTATTTAATAGGATATTTTAAGAAGTTAATCTGATATGTTGTCTATACCTCCAGTTGTAATTTTAGTCTTCTTTTTTTCTAATAACAAAACCCTTGTGCTTGAGTTTGTGTGAGGGATTTTTCTTTCTGTGTGTTTTTGTATTTCTTTTCTTTTCCTTTTTTCTTAATATGTAATTGTCTAGAGAGATGTTACATGGTGGCGCGAAGATATGAATTTTATTTTCGAGTGGCAAAAAAATATTTTACGAACGAGCGCAGCGAGTGAGTAAAATATTGTTTCATAACTTCAAGCCGCCGTGTAATGTTCTTGTTATTATAATTATAGACAAAAAGACCGATAAAATAATGGAGGGAAATGACCAAAATTACGTCATCGATAAGCTCACGTATGAGATTATGGAAAATAAACAACTCAGGTCCTGGATGTAGTTTTTATGAATTTTACGAGTGGGATATTTTCCAGTAAAACACTCGTGTCTATATAATAATATTTGATGACGCCTTTATTTATAATTTTTGTACTGCCAGATTAGTGCTATAGCTATTTGCACTGGCATTAAATGTTGTAAGCTTTATGGATGTTGCTGTTGTTGTTGTTAACTTGCCTAACCGGGACAACTTTCCTCTGTCATGCGTCACAAGTAAACAGGCCCTAACCAGAAAATAAAGCTTTATTCACATTTACTGTCAGTATGTATTACAAACTTCTTAACAGTCTGGTGCCAGTTGTTCGAAAAGTGGATGAGACCCTATCCACTGGATAAATCTCTATCCACTGGATAGCCCAATTGGTATCCCCAATACTTATCCGATGGGTAGTGATTTATCCGAAGGATAACGCTATCCATCTTTTGACCCGGGGCCTAAACGATACATTTCAGTGATCAATGAAATGATGAATTTAATTTTATCAGCCCCTGTGAATATGTCTCAAAATTGGTGTTGAAAACATGTCGCTTGAAATACTACGCTCTGTGATAAAAATACAGTTGTTAGCCAATTGACAGCTGAATTGACCACCTTGCGCGTAGAATTCTAACTGTAGCTAACTATGATCAGTGTCTGGAAGGGTATTTTCGGGATCCGCACTATCCGCAATATGACCAAAATACGCTGCGTGATTCAGGAAAACGCAAGGTATTGTAACGCGAAATGGGATTTTACAGCTGCCCAGGAGGCGGTAACACGGGACGTGGAATTTTTTTTGGCCTGTAAGTACATGAATGTTGGGAATTGGAGAACTCATACGTTTGAGCGGGAATAGGCAATTTGCACTATGAGGTCATGTGACATTGTTTTTATGAAAGTGAAAGTTTTATGACTTTGCCTTCGAAAAACGATTAGTAGGTCATATCTTAAACAAAATAGTAGTCTTTTGGTTTTTCAAACCCGCACAATTTTCTTAAAATAGCTGGTCACGTGACCAAAATGTGATTTTTAAAAATTATGAATTACAAATTGGACACAAATTTTGCACTTAAACTTCAAGGGAAATATTGAAAAGATGATGTGGTAACTTTTACAGCACATCTAAGCGCAACTATCAAACGTTTAACAAGATATAAGCAAAAAGAAGTTTTGGCGGCTATGGGCCAATGCAAATCACACTACTTTGTTGACAAATCAAAGTGCCAAAAAATATCTTCCTTAAATGCGTTTCCTCTCAAATTTCGGGTTTAAGATAATTTTCATGTGCTCTGTCAAATCTCGGCATCAGCAAGATTCCAACTCTTGTTTAAAGGAAGCATTGGTAACGTGACCTCTAAGTGCAAGTGGCCTATTACTAATCAACCGGGCACGCGTTAAGTGTTGTCTCCTTTTCAATCAAACTATAGAGTGTGCCTTACTTTACTTTATTGTTTTTGGAAACAAAAGAAGAGTTCGGGAAAGTGATGAAAAAAATAGCGGGATGCGGGATTTTCGGGAGAAAAGAGCGGGAATGCGGGATCAGGATTCCCCCCCTTCCTCTCTCCTTCAACACCTTGTGTGATAAAATATTGTGAGCAGAGAACTGTATGACAGAAGCGAGCTAAGTTTAGAGTGATAGTATAATGGATAATGTAGCCTCCCACGCAGACGTTCTTAGGGGTTTTTAATGAATAAACTCATGGATTGGAAGCGATCTGCCATTTTCACGCAAGAGTGATCACAGGAAGGAAAATAGCGTGGTCTCATTTACACATGAGCAGAATATTATTTGCAGCCACACACACAATGTGCATGAACATGCAGTTATTTGCAGGTCACGTGCTGGGCTCTCGGCCAATAAAAGGGAGAAAAAAAATGTGCATCGAATGATAATAGTTGTTTTTTAACTCTAAATGTCACTACCCAATCGGTTATGGATGCTAATGGGGGATTTCAATCCAAAGAATTTCTAGATTGCTCTAACTATTAGAGGTTTATTTTCAAAAGTCACTGGAATCTTCGATGACAACTTCAAGAATAGTCTCAAGAAATGTGATTCTAGGGTGAGGATCGACTCAGCTGTGAGTAACATTTTGCTTTATCTGCCGCTTAACCTGTTCCAGGTGTTCAGATAGTAGAGCGCAAAGTTATTACTTTCACCATGTTCATGTGCAGCAGCACCCAATCTCGCACCAAAAAAGTCTAAATTTAGGCAGAAAAAGGTAGATTCCTGGTACGGTTACACTGAAGCATTCAAAATAGCTCATGCACGTTAAACGTGCCTATGTTTTAATACGAGTGGCACAGGCACGAACAACAAACGAATACGCCATTTACCTGAGGGGAAAAAATTCTATTATTATGATGTATAATCTAATTAATTAGCTGTGACTATTCCGTTTCTCTGAAAACTTCACGGTCGTATGATTGTAGTTTTCATCCGACAGCTTTCAATCACGAGTACAGAAAAACCAGCCACTGAATTATAGGCCTTCCGACGAAGAGCAGGAGAAAGCGGTGAAAACGTCTGTACGAACAGTAAAGAAATTTATACAGGCTTTAATCTCCCACAGCCCCGGGGGCTGGGGTTGCAAGGGGGAGGGTGTTTTTCCGAACCCGGTCCCTAGCCCACCCACCTCTTTGCAATCTTGCTAGCGTAGGCTAAATCCTTGTTACAAAATTTGAGGAAAGCCATCAAAAGAAAGCTCGAAGCTCTATAAGAATGGCCGGCCATTGCGAGCCTGTCTGATATCAATACATCCATTCCAGTTTGTAGCAGATACCGATACCTATAAATACAAAAACAGTTGTATAGGAGGCCTTTTTTACTTCTATCCCAGGCTGTGAAATATCTATCCCATTCGCAAAGACACTACCCCGATGTCAAGAATCAAAGGCAATTTTGTAAGCCTCATCGTAATGGGACACAAAATGAACTTCAAGTCCTTCTTTTACAAACTCCGGCACGTCGGCAAAGTCTTTTCGATTTCCCTCAGGGAGAATAACACAGCTTACATCCGCTCGGCGAGCCTACAACAGACAGTAAGAAATGGAATGGTAGTTATAATCACATGGAAAAAAAATTACACCCAGCTAAAAGAAGTGCACAGGGAAAATGATAACTGTGAGTTTTCCCTTCTTTCAAGAAAACTGATTTTTGAGTAGCGTTAATTTGGGTAATGAGCGCTTGTTTTAAGCCTGGACTCTACCGCGAGCAGTTAACTCGCTGAGAAAGCCGCAGAACGAGACCCCTAGTTTTTATAGGCTTCACTCGGCAACCAAAACAAGAGAAAATGCCTGTTCTAGGCTCATTTCTTCAAGGAAACTCAGGGGCTACCTAGGGTTAAACTTTCATAGTAAACCATACTCCTCTAGCTCTAGAAACATTGTTTCACTTGAACATCTCACAGTTTTTGGGAACAGTACCCTCAGATTCGGATAGTGACAGGCCACACGTCTCCTGTAAAATTGATCCAATTTATAGTAACACTCACCGCAATTGTCTTTTCTTTTATCCCTCCAACGGGAAGTACCTATGGATAGAAGACAGCCATGTGCATTCATTAATCACGTCCTTGGTTCTCAGCCGTGGACAATGATAGCAACCTCGTTTAGAGTACAGTGGAACTCCGCTTTCCGGACACCCGTATATAACGGACAGCTTCGTTTGTTCCAACAAAAAGCTCATATACATTCTCTAAAATTAACCCGCTTAATACGGACACCGGACATTTCCCAATGTCCCGAGATACAAACTTCCCGGCATCGTCAACCCCGCATTACGGACACTGTTTATCTGAGCACTGTCTATCATCGAATAACTTGCTCGTGAAAACCTAACAGAAACGGCGAGTGACCGTTCAAAGATTCTGTCTAATATTCAGTCCGCCTAGTTGACAAGAGTCGCAAACTAGAACTGTCAGCACCAAGAACAGTTGCAGATTCCATTGTCGTGTTTCAAAAGGTAATTTTACTCCTAGTCAATAATAAAAAAATCGTGAGTTTCTTTACGCTGAACTTGTTACAGTCACAGTTTAGAAATTAAACAACGTTTTCTCGGAAAAATGTCTGCTTTCGTCTTCGAATTGATACACAAATTGACGTTTTTTCGGACAGCCCGCTTAATACGGACACCCGGTTAATACGGATACTATGACATCTTTTTTTAGCGTCCATATATTAACCGGGTTCCACTATACGTGATTGAGAGCAAGCAAACCTTAGTTCAGAATTAATTACAATTTACCCTGATGGAAGGTAAAATATCAGCTATATATTACAAAACCCTGTGAGATGAGCCTCTTTTTGTCTTCTTGATCTTGAGTGAGGAGGAGAAAAGGAGGTTCTGTCTTAATCGCGTCAAACTGCCTTTGAGGTCGCCGCAGCATGAACTTCCGGACTAGTCGTGTTTTCTCTCGTCAAACTGGTTTTTCCGAGTGCGAGCATTCGCCTAATGATAAATCGATTATCATAACTGAGCCTGTTGTAGCAAGCACACGGCTATTACACCTGCATGGGTTCGAAAATGTATCCTAGCAACATGCCACGTATGCTCAACAAAGATCTTACTCGATTCATGCAAAGTACGCCAAAATTCAGGAAGCGAAAGAAAGGCTCTGCTGACATGGTGATATTATAATTACCAAAGAACAAAGTACCTTTCCAGTGAGCGAGACTTCTCCTGTCATGGCTACATTCTGTCTGACAGGTTTGTTTGTCGCCAGCGACAGGAGCGCTGTGATGATGGTGCAGCCAGCGGAAGGACCGTCTTTTGGGGTAGCTCCCTACCAGCAAACAATAAATAAAGAGCGTCGAATGAAATAATAAATTCCTGAGTTCTAAACACTCCCCACGTTCAAAGCAAGGCTTGGTGGAAAACCTTTCATTTCGGTATCCAAAGAATTCAATTTTCTTAAGGAATCATTTTTATAGAAAACTGCGCACTTAGCTTCGTTTGGCAACAAAGGCTTAGTGCGATTCGGAAATGGCATACTACGTGCTTTGCGTTGCCGCGCTTTGTGATTGGCTATTAAAAACTTGCGCCGCTTTCTCAACCAATCAGAACAAAGTATGCATGAGTTTCCCGAGCAAAGGGCCAGTGGCGTGTGAGTACTAGTTGGTCCTTTTGCTTTCTGGGCATCTTGCAACTGGCTGCGGTAAACAGGTTACAGTAAAAAGTCAAGCGAAAAACGCGTGGAATTTGTAAAACAACAATAAAGTACAAGCAGAGTTGGTACAGCATGGCTTTCCTCACCTCTGGAACATGAAGATGAATAGAAGCACGCTTAAAGAAGTCGTTGTTAGAGTCTTCTCTGCTCAAAAAGCCCTGAAGGAAATTAAACCGTCAAATTGTCATTTGAGTGGCTACCCTTTAGGATTCCACCTACAGACACAATATCGATACTTTTTTGCTTTATTCTTCGGTTTTCACAATCGAGTTAAATTAGTAACGACAAAAAATCGACTGCTTCTTTGGACAAAAAACATTGCCGAGATTATCTTACTTGCGAGACCCACTGTTGATGAAAACTCATTGCCTAGTTTCAAACCGAGAGGGGCTGGGTACGAGTCCGTTTATTATGGGATAAACAACACGAGACCCATTTACGGTAGTCAGAATGAGCACATTGAAATCAGCAACATTCTCAAGTTTAGTGTCGGGCCTGTATTGAACGACACACAGCCATTCAAAAACTCAAAATTTTACTAAGAACTAGAGGTTCCATAATATTGGCATAGAAGTGCTGCTCCAAGCTTGTTTTTATCTTGATGCAAGAGTTTTTAAAAGGCAAAACAGTTTAAAATAAACACAAACACAGAACATAATGCACAAAATAAATGCCCAAAGATTTGTAACAATTATCAACGAGCATACAGTACGCCTCAATGAAAATTATCGGTACACTGCGCGTTTCTAATACCTGTATATAGAAATTCGAACCTTAGCGAATGTATAAGCTATACTCGAGCTCTCCTTCATCACGTCCCCTAGCTGGCCTGTAACATCCAGAGACGGCCTAGCATCTTTCTCATTACTTGACAAAGCTTCTTTAAGTGTTGTTTCGATATAAAGGGTGGAGCCACCTGTAGATACAGGAAAAACATATTGATTATTTACAAAAGGAAAAAGTGACTTGAGGATTTAGCTATAGAGAATGTGTGATGAGAAGGTCACTCCAATGATCATCAGTCCGTGAGTGAGCCAGCTGAAGACAGTAACTTAGTAGGCCAGCCATATCAGTTCTAGACTGCAAAACAGTCGGTTTTTTTCTCAAAATCAGTAAAGAAATCGGTAAAGTGTGGCGTAAGAGTCTTCGCGTGCGAGTCTCACACGCCCCAGTCTCGCTCTCTGTTTTCAGCCTCGTTCCAGACCTGTTGTTCGACTGCTCGCGCGTACTTGAATACGCAAAAATACGGACTGTTTTGCAGTCTATATCAGTTCGTCATTCAGTCAACCAGCCAACCAGGCACTGGGTCAAGGCGCGGTTGTTCAAACGTTGGATAGCGCTATCCACCGGATAAATCACTATCCTGCGGATAAACATTACGGAAACCAATTGCACTATCCACTGGATAGTGATTTATCCTGTGGATAGCGTTATCCATGTTTCGAACAACTGGGGCCAGGACAGCCACTCGGTCAGTCTGTCTGTCAGTCAATCAGAAACCCGGGAGGCAGTACTCAAAAAAGTTTTCTACTGGCAGGTTTCGTCCCGAAGTCCAACCCCTTACCCTTTTACATATGATTGTAGACAGAAAAGGTACCCCTTTCGCATACCTTCTATAAACAAATGGTACCCCTTTCACATACCTAGTTCAGACCTTTGCAACCCTTTTAACTGCTATAAATGCAGCCTTAAAAATATGAATAAATCACAAAACTAGATTGTTTCCTCGGCTTTTTAGAGCCATAAAATGCAGCCCCTTTGGGACTTTTTACATGTGGAAATGACAGATTTCCCTACCCTTTAATGTACTTCAAATATTAAAATCCCTATCATTTCATATGCCTAAAGCCTAAAAAAGGTTCCCCGCTCGGGCGGAGCCCCCCGGGGTCAGACAAACAGATACCAGTCAGCTGACTTGTCAGTCAGCCAGTCACTCAGTCAGTTAGACACTCGGTCTGTCAGTAGGGAGCTTAAGCAACTAAGATGACGACCACAACGACGACTTCAAAAAAACAAATAGGTTTAATGATCAAAACAACAGCTCTGCACGTGCATCACGCCTTTTAGTACATTTCTTTGACGTCCACTGCACGACTACGACGTGAAACCTCCTAATTTGATGATTTATGGAGGACGTGGATATACGACGACGAATTTTCGTTCACCTTTTTGAACCTGAATAAAATTCTTAAGAATTTAACTCCAGGAAAAGTCGCCTGTATTTGACATATTGAGCGGGTCCAAATAGACGCGATTAAGTTTGAAAGAACGTAAATTCATTTTTTTCACCGACGTTTTCACTGCCGTCGTCCTCGTCCTTGCTTAAGGTCCCTAGTAAGTCAGTAAGTCAAGGTAGAACGTTCTTAAAAAGAACGATCGCACTAGCATTTTGACATCGATATAAGCATTGATCGAACTTGTCAGTAAACACTATCAGTCTTAAGATTATAGCCCACTTCTAAAAGGTTAACCAGTAAAAGTGACGATGATGATGATACCTGCTATATATTATTGTCAGTCAGTCCGTCTGTCGAGGACGCATTCAAAAGTTGTCTCATTCGTTTCAATTATTTTTGAGTCAGTGATATCAACAAAATATGCAATTGTGGTGCAAGTAGTTATAATTAAACCATTTGTGCAACTTAAAGATAAGCAAAAGCTACATGTAGCGTGGTTAAAAGAGGCAACGAGGAGTGGTCACCTACCTAGTGAAGTCCAGGCAAGTCCCATCACGACCCCGGGCGGGGTTTGATCATATATTTTGTCCGTGTTAAATAATGGTTTGCCAACATATTCCTGAAGGTTATCTGTTGTAACTTCTACCGCTCCTTCTGCACCCTGCACTATTTTAAGGGCAGCTTTACGGAATATCTATGAACGCAAACATGAAATGGAGTTTGGAAGAGAGTCCACACTTGTCTGTTTTCTAGCCTGCACGGCAGGCACAAAAACGGTGGGTGGTGCTGAGGCCGGAGTGAAAGGGAAGGGGGGCAGGGGGGGGGGTGGGGGAAGGTGGGGGGGGTGGGGTAGAAAAGTGCGAACAAGAAAAGGAAATGGAGTACTTGCCATCCCCTCCCACATCCTCTTCCCTTTTTCCCTTCCTCACGATCCCCTGTTATTTAATGGCCAGAACAAAGACTAGTCCGAAGTTTCCGCATTCTTTTCGTAGTCTAGGTTTTTGTATATTACCTTTTCTATATGTTTTTGTAGATTCCGGACTCCATTTTCCCGGCAATATGATTTGATGAGTAGTGCGAGTGAAGGATCTTGTATCATCACTTGTTCCTCTGTTATCCCCGCACTCTTTCTTGCTTGTGGAATAAGATAAGTCTAATGAAAGTGAGAGAGCAAAGTCATTTCTCAAATATTTATGGGGGCACTAAAAAGATTAAAAAAAACAAGCTTGACTCAGACTTTCTCTTCTGGATGCCAACCCATATAAAGGAGGATCGAGTAGTACCTTTAAGGCCAACTGTATGTGGATAACAAGGAACCCATTCCCTGGGATACCATAAACTGCCGTTTATATGCCCTGTAAGCTCACACATTTTCGTAAGGGGTTTTAGGTGTGGGGGGGGGGGAGCTAATGTCCGAGGGGGCTTTTAACCGGAAAAGAAAAAGCCCCCCGAAACAAGTTATAGCAGTGCTGATAAAAATACGTTTTGTTTTTACTGGTTTTTAATTTAGCTTCAAATTATCCTAATGAATCGATTTCATGTCTCTCAAAACAAGAAAAACCAGAGGGGGCCCATGTCCGAGGGAGGAGGGGGACTAATAATCGGATGTATTTTTTTGTTTGCAAGTTGATGGGCCTATTACCAGGGGGATTTAAAAGCGGAAGTTTATGATAGTCCCTTATTTACAGCTCGCAGTCATTTACTTTATGAAAAAATTATGGGATCGATATAACTTAAACAATATCAGAGATGGAAAGGGCATGAGAAAATTAGCCAGTTAATAAAGAGAGTTGCGGAAAAGAGAGAAACCTAGAACAACATCCTTGTCTTCAGGACGTCTCAAGTATTCAATCTCCTGCCAAACTTTCGGTCGAGCTCTTGGATGTCGAGATACCTCCCTAGGCTGCTATTAAAACTGTATTCCAAGATGGCAGAAACCATATAGGATATTTAGACAAGCATGGTGGATAACATACCTCTGTACTAACGTTTTGTTCCCAAAAAGAGATGCCATTTTGTAATGATCTCCCTGAACCAACTGGTGTAAAGTATTGGATCTAACACAATATTCTTAACTCTAGCCAAATTTTGTTCGGTCATTACACTGTACCTCTGATTTATGCATAGGAGGCTACCAAAAGCTAAAGAACACTGACTGACCTTGGCAATGGCCTTCTTCTCGTCTTCCACGTACCCAGACACATTTATTATTTCCATTCTGTCCTTCAAGGCACCAGGAATGGTGTCTGTAATATTGGCTGTACATATAAACAACACCTGTGAGGAAAATACATTGGCAGCGTTCACGTTACTTAAGAAAATAAGGTTAACACCGAGAGGAGGGTAACGGAGTAGTAATTTCCCCAATTCAAAATATCTTGAAAATAGGCCATTTGCACGATGACGTCATTTTACAACTATACCAACAAAATCCTTCGGGGTATTGCTTTCTTGTGCAAATTCGGGCTTTTGTTAATTAAACCTCACTGGGACTACCAAAATTAATGTAAATATGAAAAGAAAAAAAACAAAATGAATTCAAGGTCATAGCTGTAAGAATACGCCATCGTCCCAATGGCCGATTGATCCACCATTTATTAATTGCAACCACTTCATAATTTTGTTATGAGGACGAAATCGAGAATGGAGACATTTTTTTTCTGAGGCGTACGTTAATTACATAACCTCGTTTTTACGTAAAAACCACGTGTTATCACAAATTGTTTTCGTTCCTTCAAAACCATGTGATATATCACAAAATGTTCTCCGTTGTCCTGATATCACACGTGAAATAGCCTGCGTAGCATGGCGGTTTTGGTTGGGCGCGCTAAGTAATAAAGGCGGGTGAGGGCAGAGAAACCGCGAGGAGATTGGGGCGGGAGCAACTTTTTCTCGCAGCTTCGCCGCTCGTTCTCTCGCGCTTCGCGCACGAATTTCCCGGCTACGCCGCTCGTGCGCCCGGCTCGACAAAACCGCCATGCTACGCAGGCTACACGTGAAATGGAATCTCAAGTGCACTTTATTGTGCTAACTACTGGTAATGAGATTAATTTTCATTTGTTTCATGCAATGTAGTTACTCAGATGTAGATGGTGATGCTTTCTGTGTTTTCAGTGTGGTTTGAGTTCTTATAGGGCAGTCTTCTTCACGTGATGAGGTCAAAATATAACGTAAGACAATACATCACACAACGGTCGGCTGTAGCTAGTACAGCTTCTTCCTCGTGCTTTTGGAGAAAATGACAGTGCTCTTTATTATTATTTTATCTGCCACAATGATCAACCAAAAACTTTTACTAGACGTTTTTCATTTATTCATTTGGCTTTCATGTGAAAACAACAGTTATTAATTTCATCAGGTTGGTTTTGCTTGTCTTTGGCTGAAGTTTTTTTAAAAACGGTTTACCCTTTGTGTGAAAAATAATAAAGAAAATATTATCCTTTCATTCCTTGTTCATTACCTTAGAGAGATCCACAGGTACATCTAAATAATGATCCAAGAAGCCTGAATTCTGCTCAGGATCAAGAAGTTCCAGCAGAGCTGAAGCAGGATCTCCTTGAACACCACGCCCTATTTTATCAACCTAAAAGATACAATAAATAGAGGATATTACACGGTCGCGCGAAGATATTAATTTTATTTTCGAGTGGCAAAACAATATTTTACGAATGAGCGCAGCGAGTGAGAAAAATACTTTTTTTTCGCCACGAAAAAATAAAATTCATATCTTCAAGCCGCCATGTAATGTTCTTTTTATTACATAGACAAAAAGACATCAATAAAGTAATAGAGGGAAATGACCGAAATTACGTCATCGATAAACTCACGTGTGAGATTATGGAAAATAAACCACTCGGGTCCTGGATGTAGTTTTCCTGAATTTTACGAGTGGTATATTTTCCAGTAAAACACTCATGTCTATATAATAAACAACTATCTTAAAGGGGCTACACGTCACATGGGCTGAAACCTGAAAAGTTGGGCCAACTTTTTCAAGTTTTAATTCTCTGCCTGAAAAAATCAGTAGAAAATTATGATGGTGAGTGCTCTCTGATGAAGTTTGTTTGAAATCTTCTTCGTAACTCTACAGGTCAAGCATTTTGTGAAAGGTACTAAGCAATGGGACACAGAATTGACCTAAAAATGCACTGTGAGCCATATCCTTATGACATTAGCCCCTTTAAGCTGCGAATTCAAGGAACATCTAACTATCTCTCAGGAAAGACAAAAACACATCTCAAGCGGTGATATAACATCTCATTTTTGAACGCTTTGAGGCCTTACCTCATCAATAAGTATCAGAGGATTTTCCGTTCTGGTCTTTTTTAGACATTGGATTATTTTGCCAGGCATTGCTCCAATGTAGGTCCTCCTAAAGAAATAAGTGAGTACAAAAAGACAAAAAGTAAATAAAATGTTTGTTTCTTTCACCACAAATTTTCAATAGCCATAGACAATATCTTTCTTCCAAGGCTTATTTAGTAATTTGACATACCTACAACTAGAAAAAACTGAATGGATCAAAAAGTAAAGAATGTATTCCAAACAAACCTGTGTCCCTTGATCTCAGCTACATCTGTCATACCACCAACACTGAACCTAAAATACTTTTTAAAATTGAAGACAAACATTAGGGCCATTTACACGAGGGAAAATAACAAAGACACATCTTACATAAGATGAAGACACAAACTATCCGGTATAAACAGCACATTTTTTCGGAAATTTAGCTAAGACATGTCTTATCTAAGAACAGGTGTTAAGGCTGTTCTAAAATAAGACACGTCTTAGCTAAGTCGTGTCTTATTTTAGACGAAATATGCCATTTATACGGAAAGTTCGCTTCTTATGTAAGACGGGTCTTATTTTTTCTAGTATAAATGGCCCTATCATATCATTGTACCCACATAACTGTGTATTATTGATAAGCCCATTTTCAACATTAAAGTTATTCTAGGATAATTCATTGTTGCCATATAATATGAATTGGATGCACTAAGACTAAAACACATAACTATAAACAGCACAATATTATCTACCTAATATGTTTACAGGGCAGAAGTAAAATAAACTCTTTATATATACCTGTCTGTTTAGGGCTCTTGCTATAGACCTGGCAATACTTGTTTTTCCTACGCCTAAAAGCCATAGAGAGAAATAGCTTAGAGTGGTCTGACACATAGTCTTCTACTGCCACATTGTACCAACAAAAAAGCCAACCACATGTATATACCAAGCTTTTTTGCAAGGGAGGTAGGTTACAAATGTGTAAATCGGCACTCAAACCAGCAAAATGATGCCATAGTGCAAATATCGCTTGTGATGTTAAACAAAACATGACAAACTCATTACTTAGACACCACCTTAGGACTGAATACTCATTCCAAATGCAAGCTCATGTACCCATTGTTGGCAAACAAACCCTTGTTAAACCACTGCTCAAACTACTGACATATCAAGACCTCAACTATGGCTGATTTAAACCAAGTGAAAAGACAGGATGGGGGTGGGAGAAGGTTCCAGAAGCCCTTGACCCCTCCTCCCCCCCATGGGTACACCACTGTAAGCATCCCTTGTTGGGTCACTATTGACAGATGGATATATGTTACTAACCTGGAGGGCCTGTAAAGCAGAGGATTTTACCCTGAACAGTTGCATTTAGCTGGCTCACTGCAATAAACTCCTACAACATGAATGGACCAATTTCAACATTATAAAATTCTTTCTAGGCTCTGAAGCTTGGGATACAAAACAAAAGAAATCATGCACATTCAGATTGAGGGATGAATAATACATTTCTTTCACTTTATTTGCCCATGCCTTGGGGCCAATAAGCATTTGAAATGTTACTGAAACAAACAGCTATTCAAACAGTTGAAAACATCAGTTTACTTAATGACAGGGCCAGGCCTGAAAATAGGTTTTTTTTTTTTTCAGACAGGGCATATGTCCTACTAAGTCACCATTTCTCATAATTATGGCACAAATTATGCTGGCTTTCAATTAATTTTCTTTATATGCAAATCAAATCTTCCATAAAAAATGATATCCTTTATATCATTTATTTGATCTGTCTGATCATTTTTTTCGACTATAGGTACGATTGTTTTCAGATGTGGGACAATGTTTAGTCAGCCATTTTCTGCTGACAGACTGTTATTTTGTATCTCTGCAGAACTGAAATTAGTTTACTTGTTAACTATTTTTAATTGACATTAATTTACAAATAATTTTTTTAAGAAGGACCATAACACTGTCACCCTAACTGCCAATACATGTACATAAAAAATGGAGCAGGGTTAAAGTGTTTCACTTGCAATTTCAACTTGAACATAATGTAACATTAATTTGCCTGATCTTACCAGTATCCTGTCTTTAATATCTTGTAAACCGTAATGATCTTCATCAAGCACTTGTCTAGCTTGACTGATATCAAAATTCTCTTTACTGTGAATACCCCAGGGAATGCTGGTTAACCAGTCTAGGTAATTTCTGGTAACACTAAAAGGAGAGAGTGCCAGAGTAGCTTACCATTAATTTCACTGCTACACTGCCTTCAGAATCAAAACACTTGGAAATAGATTATGCAAACACAGTGCTTAAGCACTTTATAGAGGCCCTGTTAGGGTAAAATTCCAGCAAGCAACATCTGGTCCTTAAAACAGCAACATAAGATAGCATAAATGGCAAAGATGGGTTAAAACTGAGACAGAGAAAAGCGCAAACACAATACAGCGACATGCCTTCCTTCTCCATACGCAAAACGACAGGTTTTTAAATTCAGACTAGGGACATGTGTAACCCCCCTAATAAGAGGGCCACTTTATAATGAAACTGAGTTGCCAAAAACATGACAGACTTCACATTGACTGATAACAATGTTTTCCATGAATGTGAAGTTGTGTTTTGACAACCAAATTTCCATATAAGGTAGCGGCACTGTTCACATCTGCATGGTTTCACTGATGGAAATCTGTTTCAAAGTATTTTGATTTTGAAGGTACACATGTACATTGCAGTGAACATAATCAAAAAGATATAACCAAGAATTAGCTAAAGTCTGTTGTAAAAGTTTACTTTGCTATATTACTGTGAATCTATTTGGTTTCAGAGACAAATTTCAAATCAAGGTTTATATGCTTATTGGTCAGATTCAAAGTTTTCCGCAGGCTTACGTCGAGATTTATGAGATTTTGACATAAACAACCTATAAAAAAGTAATGCAAAGGTCCTAATTAATTTGAACTCACTTAAATTCTGATGAATGTGCATCAAGATAGGCTAATTTAGTCAGTTCTTCTTCAATGACTTCTTCAGCATGTCTAGGTACATTCAAATCTTTTATTCTCTCACGAAATTTCTCTCCAACAGCATCCTTGTCTTCCTTCTCTAAGCCAAGTTCTCGTTTGATTATCTTTAGCTGTTCTTGAAGCAGGAATTTCTTTTGTTGTTTGTTGACTTTTTCTTCTACCTACAAAGGACAGATAATACAATAAAATTAATATTAAAAAAAAAGTTCTTTCTCAACTATGAAATTAAGGTAGACCAGGACAGGGCTTTAGCCTTTTCCAAGAAGTTAGAAATAATTCAAGGAAGGTTTTGTACATGGTGCATACATGCATGTAAGTATTAAAAAAATGTAGAAGTTGCTCTTCCTTGGCTGCAAATCACCAAATCAGTTAATGACTCGTCCTGCAAGAAACTGGTCACTTTTGTTTTTAGTTGATCCTCACCTCCTTGCCTAGTTGTTGCTGCAACAAACAGACGGCCAGTTCTTTCTTCAGCAGTTCAAGAGTAAGGCGTAATCTCACAGGAATCTTGGTTTCTTCAAAAACTTCCTGAAGCTGTTGTGTTTCACCACTGGTCAGTGCAGCACCTTTAATTTACATGTATGTCAAAACAAAATCAAGAAAAACACTCAAAAAATGTGTCAGAATTACATTGTAAATATTAATAAATTACAAGTCAAATTTGATTTCAGGTTAAATTATTTTTTAACTTAGGTTGATTTTCAATTTCCATTGTCTCCTAGCCCTAGAAGACAAAAGACTGAGAATCAACCTAGGTTAAAAGAAATTCAACCCGAAATCAAACTTGACCTGTAACTTCTGGCGGGCTTATAACTGGATGTATTATTTTGTTTACGAGAAGATGGGCCTATAACTTACATGTATGGGGGCTTACAAGCAGGAGTTTACAGAATCACTCCCTAAAATCTAACTCATTACTCACCAAAATCTGCTAAATGAACTGGGTTGTCTGCTACTCTCTTCCCACCTTCAATGAGCTGAGCCAGAAACTCTTTGTACAAAGGGTTCAGTGAAATTATATCTCTAATAGTTTTGATCACTTCAGCTGTTAATGCCTGAGGATTTAATGTAAGATATTATTTTTCTTTACACATATATAATTCCACAAATAATAAATTACAATATTTTGTATGGAGTTGCTTACTATACACTGCAAAAAATGTTATGCCTGTAATAACTGTATGAGGTTAACCAACTGCAGAGGTCATGAGGTAAAACTACAGTGAAAGCTCTGGTAAGCAGACACCCTCGGAACGCAAAAAAGGTGTCCATAACTGGGGTTGGCCACAGAGTTTTGTATGGGAGTTGAGTACCGTGTAGCATGAAAATTTTGCGGGTTCTAATTTTTGCGAATTTTGCAGATTGACCTCAATCCGCAAAAATTAGTTCCCGCAGAAAAAAAAACCCGCCAAATAAAACGCTGCAAAAATTAACTCCCTTCACTCAAATTAAAAAACTCTGCCTTTAATGGACTTGTTGTGTATGTTAGGGATAGGCTTTTGTTTTGTTTTGCTGTTATTCAGTCCCTTTGTGGAGTAAGATATTACAGTGATTACCGTATTATTCTCCGTTAAATATGTAAGTAGAGTGAACTTTGACTCAACATACCGTAAAATAAAAGTTGAAAATACCATATTAAGGTTTCTTCCACTTAAATATTCTGCTACTTGAACAGAGAGTTGCAAAAATTAGTTCCCACCAGAAATTTCAGTCATCTCGAACGGCAAAAATTTGTTCCCGCAAACCACAAAAAATCGCCAATCTGCAAAATAAAACTCCGGCAAAATTTTCGTGCCACATGGTAAAACAGGGTTTTGTAAAGGTGGCTGTAAGTAGAGCTGTCCACTTAGGATAGTGGATATGAATTAGGTTTTTCTTTTGCTTGCTTGATTTCTGCATTCTCAAGAAAGACTCTGCAGGAATTGAGTGAGATCTCTGTTAAGCATGTGCAGCATGTTGCTGAGATATAGTTTTAAACCCAGGTCTAATAGCCATGCGCTTGCTACAGCGGACTCACTTATGACCATTGGTTTATCAATAATGGATGATCGCACTCAAAAAAACAATTTGACAAGAGAAAACAAGATTGACTAGTCAAGAAGTTTGAGCTGCGAAAGACCTCAAAGGCTTGATGCGATTTAGGAGGAGCCACCTTTTTTCCTCCTCACTCAAGAAGACAAAAGGAGACTCTGTGCACAGGGTACCCAGCCTTGGGTATGCCTTAAACAACTGATAAATTATGAGAAGCTCAAAAAAGGGAAGCATTTTTTAAAACTCATTTGTCAATAAATTACCTTGACTTCATCTGTGAGCTTGAATGGTTCATGCAGCACATTTTCCACTCTAACCATAAGTATTGGTTTCTTTTTTGTGGTGTCTTCTGAAGATGAATCTAAAGGAAGATCCACTGCAGCAACAGGTTCTGTCTTCTCCTCCTCAGTATGAGGTGAATATTCAATGGTGTCTGTTATTTTTATCCTGAAAATAATTCATATATATAGTCTATAAACATACAATCAGGGTTCTCCAAAAATGTAGAGCAGAGGCAGAGAAAATTAAAGTAGGCAGCAATAGAGTATAAAATCAAAAGGAGCGAAAAGCCTTTCGCTCCACTTATCTTCAAGGTGGTGTTAGGTATGTCAGGGGGTTTAGCCCCCATACCTCATGCTCTGTGAAAAGTTACACAATAAGCTCTCAGGGTTCGCAAATACGCCAAATTTGGCGTATTTTACGCCAAAATTGTTCAGATGACTCCACTGAGGTTACGGAGGGAGTCACTTCGACTCCAGAAATTTTCGGTAACAAACAGGGAGCCACTTCGACTCCAGAAATTCTCGGTAACAAACACAGTTTTGTCCTTATCTTTTTCGCAACAAATACAATTTGCGTTAATTGTAAACGTTGTAAACCTTAATTAAATCATCAAAATTAAAGAATTATACTGCACAACAAAACAGGAAGAGGGTAAATTACGATCAAAGTTTACTCGATGACCGCCATCATGGATTTTAGCTTTCCAGGTCAGCGGACCGACACAGCTACTTTGTGTATCCCTCACGATATTGTAAACATGCCAGGACCACGTGCTGGAAAGTCTGAAAATGGCTTTTTTCGTTGTGATACTTGACTCCAAATATTCCAAAATGACTCCAAAATTTGTGAAGCAGAAGTCACAGTGACTCCACTCATCAATAAAATTTGCAAACCCTGAGCTCTGAAAAGTCCATTTCATTGCATTTTGAGCGACCAGTTAAAGAATTTTAGCCATGGTAGTGGCAACTTTATTTCATACATTTGCTTTATTTTTTACCATACACTTTATTTTCACCTCTTAAAAAAATGATTTGTTTGAGTAGCTGGTGCTTTCATGGCAAATGCAAAATGATTTTTGCTGGCCGCCGGAGTTTCTGGAGAACATTGACACAATGATTACTAAACTGTCTATAACCAACAATGTTATGTAAACCTTCTGTGACCAAGAATGACCATCCTGATTTTATCACCAGTATCATACAGCTCAGTGATCTGAACAAAAGAACCCACTTGATAGATATCATCCAGACTGGTGATGATTTCTGCCTCATTACTACAAAAGAAAAATGAAATTGGTTGACATGCAATCTAGAAAATGTGGAGTGACGTGCATTTATCTGCTTCATAAAAGCCTGAAAATCTGTCAGTGAACAGTCTACCGACTGTCACAGGTAAATAAGGACGATGTAAGTCACAATAGCCATGTTCTTTTTGTTTGTGATGTCTATGTCTTCCTCTGGACCTCATCAGGTGATGGTGTGAATTTATGGTCCGAGACTATTAACAACAAACTATAAGCAACCACTGTGTTACTACAGTTTGTAATGGTCTCACTCAGTAGATTAACATTGTTTCATGAAGAAGAACAGCATCCAGCTGAAATATTGCAACCAATAACAAAGTGACTTATCATAAGACACAAGCAATCAACACACAGTTATCTAATGGTTATTTTTACCCCACAAGTTTTTCAACTGAGCACTCAGTCTGGTAGAGAGACCACCAAGAAGTTATCAAAAACCAGAGCTTTTGGGCATTTTCAATTCGGCCCAACACTGTGGACATTTTGTTTACAAATCAAAAGGAATGGGCCATTTTGGTTCTGTCTGACCAGAATATTAGGGACCTCCTTGGAAGATGGCCCACTTTGACCGGTCCAGTCAATCCGGTTGGTCGGTCCTTTTCCATTTGACCAAATTGTTGTCCCCAGTATCGCTCTTCTGTATCTTGTTTAAAAGTACAATAACCAAATACATGGTGGCTTAGGTCAGGTCTGTGCAACCGGAATGTACCATTTCATGGGCACATGGAATTTTGGAAATCTCACAAGGAATTTTTGTTGAATGAAAAACGCCCTTTATTTTATAATTTATGAATACAGCATTGCTGACTTGTTAGAGCTGGTCTCACTCTTGTCCACTAACCTGTCTTCTTTTTTCAGGAAAGCCCCAGCATACGGCTGAGCTAACCTTGACTTTACTCGGATCAGCTCCATGAGATCCTTGTCTGTTATCTAGTAAGGACAAATTCCTTACATTAGATTTTGCTAATACAGTGGAACCTTGATAACAAAGTCCTCAGACATATTGGGAGAGTGCCAGTCTGTTGAGTGCCAGGCTATTAATTAAAACACCAACCAAGGTCTTAAAAAAACTGGTGAGATCAAATTCGCTGTAATTTAAACTCATTTTCGGTTCAGATGATAGCATCATTGGGTGGTGACATAATTGAGCTGTTGGCCTTATCTCCTTCATCCTTTCACATCAGCTGGAAGGTAAGGTAAAAGACCCTGTGACATTGCTTAACCCTTTAAGTCCCAATAGTGAGCAACAGCAATTTCCTCCTAACAATGTCCATGCATTGTCAAGAGATGAGGTTGTGAGAATATAAAAAATGATTACGAAAGAGAAAATGCCTTGATGTTTTATTAAATTCTCTCAACTAATTCTTAAAGGAAATGTATGGAGGTCAGTTCGGAGAATTTTTATGTGGATACTGGGGCTTAAAGGGTTAAAATCTACAAACCTCCATCATCTTGACAAATCTTGGAAAGACTGGATTCCTGTGAACAGGTAACACAGGCACTTCAGGGAACACATCTGGGACCATGACCTGTGCCAGTGCCCCTTGGGCTGGATCTACCTTAACCCCCGCCTTGTCCTCTATCACAACCTCAGCTCCATCATCTTTCTTGTCACCACCATCTCCATCATCATTCCCACTTCCACTAGCTCCTTCTGATGACTGTCCACTATAAAAGATCAGTTAATGCCGGGAGAACATCAGCCTTTGAACTTTTCATTGACTGCTCAAAGTAACAAACTTTAATACTCACCTGGAGCTGTGGCTGTTTGAACTCTGTGCCTTCGAATACCCTCTTGGAAATAACACTAGATCACTATCTGGGGAATCAATCCTGATAATATAAAAGGTCCACATGAAAAACGTTTCTTCAACAATATATTATAAAAAAAGGTCCACTGACTTTATGGGTAGGTAGTTCGGGGGGGGGGGGGGGGGGGGGGAATTTTGGGGGTAAAAATGATCGGGGCCTGGGGATTAGAGAGTTTTAAAAAAAGTTTCCCTTTTAAAATTTTAAAAAAAAAAAAATTTTTCACCAACCTCCTCTCTATGAAAGATACTCATATGGGAAAGTTCATTTTGTATGACAATCACAAAAACAAAACCTACTATACACACCTGCTTTCGGTGCTTTTGTTTCTCCTCTCTCTACATACACCACTTAAAAAAAAAAAACAATAACCTTTTGGGGAGAACAAACAAAAAAAAAAAAAAAACCACAAAAAAAAAATTTTTTAAAAAAAAAAAAAAAAAAAAAAAACCCCTTTTTTTTTGGGGGGGGGGGGGGGGGGGGGGGGGGGGGGGGAGGGGAGAATTTGTGGGTATAAATGATCTGTGCCTAATGATTAGAGAGTATTAATAAAACGTTCCCTGTTAAAATTCTAAAAATAAAGAAATTTTTCACCACCTCTCCTTCCATGAAAGATGATCAGCTGAGGAAGTGCATATTGTATGACGAAACCCTAGGGTGTATCGCTCAGTTCCTGCGTTAAATCTATCCAAACCATCACGAAAAGACGGTGCTCTAGTTATTTGACAACACTGCTTCAGTGGCCTCCAAAGTTTGTGATAATCACGGCTCAAAATCCGGCTAAAACATGGTGATGCAACTTTCCTAGCCACAAACATTGTGGTCTTCTCCCAACGCAAGATGACATTGCATGCGCACGTGCGCTTGGTAACCCCCCTCTATCCAGCGGCCTTCTTTTGGAGATTTTGCGCACTGAAGTCTTGTTGGTGTGATGGCGGATTTTGAGCGTGGCTCTGTGAAATTTTCCTAAAAATTTCTCGTTCATGTTCGTACGCCATGAGTGGGAGAATCTACTGCGGAAGACTGCCTTCGGAGGCTCAAGAGAAGGATCTTGAAACCTTGTTGAAATCCATCGGAAAAATCCGCGATGTTGATTTCAGGGAAGGTTTTGCGTACGCTGTATTCAAAGACAGCCGCGATGCTGACAGAGCCGTGCAAGAACTCAACGGCAGAGAATTTATGGGCCAGAGTATTCTTGTAGAACGAGCGAAAGAGGTTAGAAATGGAGTTGGTGGATATACTGTAGCTGGCGGTTATACTGCTAGAGTTCGCCAACCAAAGCCCCCTCCCGTGCGAACAAATCACAGAATACGAGTTGAAAACCTTCCCGCAAGAGCAAAGTGGTCGGAACTCAAAGAGTTTATGAGTGTAGCGGGTGATGTAACTTTTGCAGATACCCACAGGAGGAGGCCTGGTGAAGGACTTGTTGAGTTTGCAAGTAAGGAAGATATGATAAAAGCATTGGAAACTCTTAATAAACGGGAGTTCCTTGGAAAGAAAATAAGATTAGTGGAAGAAACTCCTCGTTCCAACAGAGGTCGTTCTCAGTCACGCTCTAGGTCTAGATCAGTGTCACCTAGAAACAGGAAAAGACAATCCTCATCACCTTCAAACTCAAAGAAACGTAGATCACAGTCAAGTGACAGGTCAATTTCACCAGAAAAGAGTAGAAAGCCGCGATCAAATTCTTTGTCGCCATCTCATTCAAGTCATCGAAGGTCAACTCACTCAGAGTCAAACCATACATCATCTTCACGGAGAAAGAGGTCTCATTCTAAGTCACCAAAAAGGTCTCGTCACAAGTCAAGATCTAGGTCGCATTCCAATTCACCAAAGAGGTCAAATCGTAAATCAACATCAAAGTCACATTCTAAGTCACCAAAGAGATCTCACTGGAAGTCAAGATCTAGGTCACATTCTAAGTCGCCAAAGAGATCTCAGCATAAATCAAGATCTAGGTCACAATCTAAGTCGCCAAAAAGATCTCACCACAAATCAAGATCAAGGTCACCGTCTAAGTCACCAAAGAGGTCAAAGCCTAAATCAAGACCAGAGTCACATTCTAAGTCCCCAAAGAGATCACATCACAGATCAAGATCTAGGTCCCACTCAAAGGCAAAAGGACAAACTGAAAGACATTCCTCTTCAAAATCTCATAAAAGGAAAAAGCTTAAAGCCAGATTGCGTTCACGATCAAGATCTCCTAAAAAGCACAGGTCATGATTGTCATTTTTAGCAGGTTAAAAGGCAGTTTGATCAGGAAATAGTAATCATGATTTCCAGTTGTTTCCCTACAAAGTTATTTTGCTACACTTTACCTCAACATGCTTCACAAAAATGTTGTGATACACAGAAGAAGCTTGGATAAATTGCTCATCCAATCTTGACACTTGTAGTTACATATATGATCACAGTTCACTTTTACATTGTAGCAAAATGACTTTGCAGCAGACTGTTTCGAGGTGATAGAGTTCTGATGCACATTGTTGTACAGTGGTATCCTGATTTCTCAAACTCTCAGCTTTGTCCATTTTGAAGTTCCAGATAATTCGAACCAAACTTATCTTCCCTTCATTAGTCAAATACTGTAATTGTACCCCTGATTTTTCACCCTCCTGATAATTCAATCCAATCTACTTTTCCTGAGTTGGTTAAAAAGTCGGGATTCCATTGTAAGTGTGCACACGTACAAGTAACCTACAGTAGACTGGCTTTTGTTAGTTAAAGTGGTCAAAATACTTCATAAGTGACTCTTTAGAGTCCACAATATTAGTGTCCTTTGCATGCATCACATGAGCTACTTTCAGAAATTCTTTGTCTTAGGAGTTTAATTGACTGTTTGTTTTTGTAAAATGGGGATTACACTGTACATCAGTCCGCAACTGGGTTATATATTGTATGGTAGCACATGTATAATGTAATGTATAATAATTATATATAAAAAAGAGCAACTTTCAATCCAGATAATAATATCAGTGAACTCTTTTTGTCTCAAAATGTTAAGAACCCTTAAGCTAACAAAAGCCATATTTTTTGTTGTTTTTAGCTTACACTTATTTTCTTTAAGTGTAACAGATCAGGATGTGTGACTGTTCAATCCATGGCTAGAGACCTCAGTAGGGTACTCTGATAGAGTAGTTTTTTTAAATAACATGGAATCATTATCGATTCATTCTATGCTACATGTGTAAGTGTACAGACTAAAAACATTCAAACCTCCTGTTAGTTTCAACTCGAAATACAAAGATTTTGTGGGCTTTAATGAGCGTCAAACCACCAGGGTTCTCTTCTGGTAACAGATCCAACACAAATAATATTATTACATTCAGTTTCTGAGTCATAATACAAGCTGCGCCATCTTCTTTTCGCTCAAAATTTCTCCTCTACATCCACCAGACATAGAGATAGAATTCCTTCTGTAAGTCAAGTGGTCATTTGCAGGAGGTTAAAACCAAGGGAAATGTGTTCTTGATTGCTTAAGGGAGATGGTGGTTTGTGACAGGTTACACCTTTAGTGCTTTAGCTGGAAAGATTGTGGTGTCTTGCATAGGTGGTCACCTACGAGAGATACTTGTTTCACTTAACGTATGTTCTGGTTGTTGACCTGCACATGTGGTTCCTTTTAGTTTAGACACTTACCAGCAATTTTTTTTCTGTGAACAAAATTGCTGCAAATGATATTTTTCTGCCTTGAAAGTATGTATGTTTGGATATGTCACCATTTGAGTGGGAAAAAACAATAATACGTGGTTGTTCTTGATCAAGTCTTAGTTCTGTAATGAAAACTGTGCATAGTAGGCACACGATTTGCCAGTTGACTGGTTGTAAATTAATATTATTTTCACTGCAAAAATGTTATTTCAATGGCACAATTCACATGTGCTCAACATAGATTGAATTCATCAGCCATTGTTAGTCTTTTGTATAAACTTTGTCCAGATCTGTTGTTCAACCACATCTATTTTCATCAGACATGGGCCAACTTTAGAATTTATTACATTGTGTGACTGACTCATCGTTACTTGCAGTTTTTTTAGGTCTAATGTAGGGGGTGTTTACATGACGTTGGGGTGACTTTTGCCTCGGAGAGTGTTCACTCCAGTTCCCTCTCATGGCTCTATATTAGTTTAGATGATACCACCACAAAATGTCTTGCCGGCGCGAGTCACCCCAGCGTGAGTTCACCCCGGTTCTTGTACCGGGGCGAGAATTTCACTCCTGTACGAAATCTCGCAACGATATCATGTAAACGCAAAACATCTACCCGTTTTGGTTAGAAATCGGTCTCCCGGTAAACTGGAATGGGTAGCGCTTGCGTAATGTTGTGATTATGAATCACACGTGTATTTTATCATCATGAAGTGTACCTTCAAATAACGAGATATGAAATGACCCAGTCATTATCTAAACGCGATATGAAATCAAAAAGTCATCCCGGTATGAAACTCGCACCGGTGCGAGTTTTCTCATGTAAACACCACCTTACTATGTTATCATAGCTGGAGGAGCATCGCCGCAAATCATCACATGTACACTTAAAAAGTTGCTTATTATTTTCTTTTGGCATTTCTGTAAAAGGTAACTTATTGATAACAGGAATGTAAGTCAAAGGATATAACCACACAACAGGTTACCTATTAACCTGCTTTCTGCTAAACTGTAGTATATGTTTCTTTTGAGCGTTATGGTTTAAGAAAGAACATCTAAGAAATTACATCAAGGTTAAGCCATGGATGATATTTGCTTTCTGTTGTTTTTACTCCCTGAGCTTTACAACCAGCTTGAATTTTAAAACTTGTAAATAATGACATTTCTGACTTGAATAAAAAGCAACATTATTGGTGACTTGTATACACATTTGTCTTTTTTGATTGCTGTGGTGAGAGTTCATTATGTAGTTGTTCTTATGTAGGCTAATTCTTATATTTAACAATTATTCCTCGAGCCTGAATGGGCTCTGAGTCAATAGCCCATGAGGCCGAAGGCTGAATGAGCTATTGACTCAGAGGCCATGAGGGCAAGAGGAATAATATTGTTTTAGTAAAATCCAACTAGTTGGTCAAAAATATCGAGAATAAAAAAAAATTAGCTAGTTAAAGCTAGACTTTAATCCTTTTTGGCCCCCAAAAAGCCTGCACTTTTTGCTCCAAGTGGGCTGTAACATAATTATAGCCTAGTAGTGGCTCAACCAATCAGAATGCATTATTGATAATAGACCACTAAAGCAAATCAACAGTCTACTCAGTACAAATTTGATTCTCAAAACCACTGAATGAATGATTTGCAAAGTATCTGCATCTTTTTCTTCCACGAGCTTCTGTTCCTCTTCTGGTATAACTTGGAAAATCCTTACTTTTTAGCTTCAGGCTTCATTAATTTTTGTATTGTTGTATTCATTCACAAAAAAGAAAACTGGCAGTGTTTTCCCCACCTTCTATCATGCCACTTTCCACTATGCTTTGATCACGTGCTGTAATGTATCCCAAGGGGGGTACAATTACTCAAATGTATCAGAATCGGGATACAGTTGATTTTAGTCAAGGCCATGTGACCAAGAATCAACCAATGGCAGTCCCTGTTTAGGTGGGTATGAAAGTCTAGGGGATATAACAATATAACATGGCCACCTGTTAATACTGCACATACTCATTAGTTAAGGTTTTTTCATTTGTCGCCTCTCCAAATAGGTTTTGGGATAATAGGAGTCTTAGACTTAATAAATAAATTATTTATTAAGTCTAAGACTCAGATTTTCCAAAATTGTTAGAGTTTGAAGCAACAATCACTACGTCTGGGATTTTACCATTTGCCGACCCTAATAGAGGACAATATTACAACGTGGAGCAGGGATACAAAATTTTCCTTTGAGTGCTGTTGAACACCATGAGCAGAGAAATTTTCTTTCAAAGAGCAGCCATGCAGTGTTCCATTATTTTATTTTATTAATATGAACACCAATAAAATACCAAACTGTTTCACTTTAATTTTTTTTCTGCAAAATGTGCAGTTTATTCTGTTAACAAAGAAAAGGGTGATCTTTTCAAGAATGCCCACTTGATATTAATTTTTATTAGTGTTAATAACATAAAATATTACTTAGCATAGCATTATTTTGATCCTCCCTCAGGAGCTATAATGACTGCCTGATAACAAAGTAGAATCATGGGATTAGCTGTTTAGAGAACGTCAGCTGGCAAATATCCCTCTTCAATCTCACCTCTGACACATGAAAATTTCACACTATGCTTGTTCAAATAATGATTATTTATTATTGTGATTCGACAAAAATATTACAACATTCCAATAGAGCTACATCATGGAATTTTAGACATGGTTATGGCAATAATATAAGATGTAAGAAACAGATTTAACAAATAAATAATGGATCCAGAGTTAACAATCACTACAAGCTCATTTACACAAGTATAATTATTATATAATCACATTTTTAAAACTCATCACCAATTCATGAAGAAAAAAAAATAAATTAAAGTTTAATAAGTGTCTTTATAATTATCTGACAAAGGCATGGCTAAACTTTATGTCCAGTTTTTTTTATACAAAAATAACCCCAAATCTAAATATTAGTGAAAGAGTGACTTGACCTATATAAGAGATTTTGAAGCTGTTCAAAAAACTTGCAGTCATTGAATTATTGGGTTTAAAAGCTCTCAGCTTAGCGCTGAGTTTTTAAACCTGGTAATAGACTCTTGCTCGTATTTAAACACTACTTGATATGTATAATTATTCCCTTAACTTTAATGCAAGCTAATCTTGCAGCCCTGTTAAAACCTGGTATAAAGCTCTCATCCTTGACTGTCAACAGAGCAGGGGCTCAGCCAGTTAGTCACCTGGGTGTCCTCTGCACTCCCAGCTTTCAGAAGAAAACAACGTTTTAGCAGCTTGGTTCTAGAACTACAGGCTTCAGCATCCCGCTTAAAATTTCTGGGTAAAACCATTAAAACCAAGCATTTTGTTTGTCAAGATAACAAACCATGCAAGGTTTTGTGTTCTTCAAGCAACTTCGCCTTGATATTATAAGAAAAATGTCCTTGTGATGAAAAATGCTACTCTACTCAGCTGTGAGACATTAAAGAATAAAAGCAATTGCACCTACAAGTACATGCTCTTTTCTCTCTTGCTACTCCATGCATTATCTTACAAACTTTAGCTATATAGCTTGTTATTTTCCTTCCTTAAATCTGAAAATCACACACGAATTCCTCCTTCGAGTCTCAGATATCCAGACTCTCGACTGCAGCACATGAGGTAACAAGCTACGATCATTCCCAGTAACTGTTGAGAAATTAACAGATAACAGAAATCAGGAATTTAAAGACAAATTGGTGCAAATCCTTTATGGTTAGTAACAAAATAATTTATGCATAACTGACTAGGGTGACAAGGACGGGTGAGGAGAGAAAAGCTGAGCAAAGTATGATCCCATTCAAAAGCATGGCAAAGCAGCTGTCTTTTATCAATCACAGGACTGATGAAAAGTAGCAAACTGAAGATGACATGTATAAACGTGGCGTCAAGCTTTTACCTTTTCTTTTTAAATAGATGCTCCCAAGATTGTAAACTGTGCTCCTAAAATTTTCAGCTGTGTGCCTAAAATTTCAGCAGTGTGCCTAAAATTTCAGCTGTGTGCCTAAAATTTCAGCAGTGTGCCTAAACATTTACATCTAGTAGCACAACACAAGTGCTCCCAAACTCAAATTTCAACTTTGAGCCCTGGGGCGGGGGGCTGGGCAAGGGGCACCTCTCAAACATGGAAACTTGGAGCTGAGGAGAGTTTATTCAAGCTGTTAACTGTATAGTTATGATTAACCCATTCGCTCCTAGAGATTTTGCCGAAAAACGCGTTTTGAAGCTAGTCGAGTGGTTTTCTGGTCACTGTCGTGCTATAAAGAGCTAAAACTTACCACAAACTGGTTTACAGGTCGAACACTTCGCGGTCTTCCGATCCAGATGCAAAATATCAGCTTGCGAAGTTCGGGCATGCGCAGAAAGCAAAATTTCGACATAGTTTTTGGGTTTAAAAGTGACACAGCAGTCTTGACTTTTACTTTTCGCTTTCTCTCCTCCCTTCTTTTTTTGCTTTTCTTGCCTCATTTTTTTTTTCTCTTGCTGGGCATTTAGTAGGCTTGATTTTGGTGGGAAGAGTTTTTAGGAAAGCTTTTAGGATCTTAGGATTAGGCAAAAGGAAAGGTAGGTGGGTAATGCAGGGTTCTCAATAGATTTTTAAATAGGAGGTGATCACTGATAAAGTAGGAGGCTCTTCAGCAAAGTCAGAGGTGTCAAAACAAAGCAAAGAAAAGCGACTTAAACACAAAGTAAGCGGCTATAAATCCCAAAGTAAGCGGCAATCAATCGCCGGGTGCCGCCTTCTATTGAGAACCCTGGTAATAAGACAAGATTTTCATGGAGATTTTCAGGTCAATGTCACGTGGTTTTTTGCTTGTTTCTCCGGTGTCCTTGACTGAATTGTGCTCATTCTGGTATGGTTTGAAAGATCTCTTCACTCTGCACAAGTTAGTGAAGAAAGTTGTCCTTGGCCGTTAAAACTGATGACGTCACAATGGGTAGAAAGGACCTGGATCCGCACGGGCGGTTACGGGCGGTTCAGGGGCGAATGGGTTAATAATAATTACAATCACTTACTTGCAATACAGCAACACCAATAGCAGTACCCAAGACGTAAGAGAGATTTTTCTTGACATCATCAGTTATCTTATCTAAGCAGCCCTTTCAATATAAGCAGAAAGGTAATTAATTTTATGGACCAACTTTCATTTTTAAGTCATCAAACAAAAATAGCCATAGAAAAACCAGTGTAAACAAATTAATTGAAGCAAGAACCAAGTATGGCAACTTCAGTTGTGTCTTGATAGATAATTTCAATTTCAAATGGTTATTAATTTTGACTGATTGACAGCGACTACAAGGGGTTACAGAGGGTTACAAGGGGTTACCATACCCCAAACAAAGGAAAATAGACTTTATAAAACCAAGGATAAAATTCCACCACATCATAATATGCAGCTTACACCTCAGACTTACAATGGTAAAAATTTGTACCTTGTTTGTAACAATTATTGTAATTTGATGTCCATAGAGCACTTAGGAAGAACTCATTCAAATGTGTCCTTGTATTTCATATTGAATAGGAATTTAAGTCTTGGGTTTTTAAGGAGAGGGGAAAACCTGAGTAAACCTCTATCAGCAAGGAAGGGAACCAACATTGAACTCAGCCCGCACAAGTTTAGGTGCCACATTTGAACTCAAGGCCACTTTGGTGGGAGGAGAGTACTTTGAAAACTTAAAATACTTCAAGATTTATTTTAACCATACATACCTCTGTGTAAGGGGAGTAGTGATCAGAAAAGCATGAGTGTGGAGGGTGGTGATGCTGACCATACTTGATCCAGTCAATCGGGCCATGACTACCACAACATTTCAACTAGACATAAATAATACATGTCTTATTATTCAATACATGCTAGTAATAAAACTTTATTATACATTCAAAACATTCCTCTTTTTCTGATTGGCTCAATCCCCTAGCTAATTCTTCATAACCAGCGAGAGAAAATAGCAGATATTTCACATGCTTTGTGAAGAACAAATAGCCCAACAACAGGGTTGTCAAAAGTAGCCGGCTGCCGGCGAAAATGGCCACCTACTTGGTTAGTATTGGCTGGCTACTCTGCTTGGCATTTCTTTATGGATGGTGTTTTTTAAATAAATATCCCTGGACTGGTTAAGAAACATCTTCTGAAAACTATAGCAAGTGATCATGTGTCACTTGCAGTTGTTGGTATTATGAAAAATGCCACAAAACTCAATACTTTGCTTGTTCCAACTTTGCTCGACAAAAATGTCACAACAAATACGTGAGCAGCAGTTTCAGTTCTTCCCACAAGTGCTTCATGTATGCAGAATAAAAAAGTACTGAAAATGGCTAAATGGGAACGTGGCCTTATGGAAATGTGAGCATCGGTGCCAAAAAAAAGCAAGTTAGGTATTTTCTATGTTGTTTATAACATTAATGTGTATTTCTTACAATAGCAATAACACACCTGTAGAAACATAAACATTTGCAATTTAAGTCAATCACAATGTGTGTGGACCGCTAAAATGATCTCTGTAAACAAGTGTAGTGTTTTCAGTCTAATCTTTGTAAGTTTCTATCTAGAACTGCATTTTCTTGAATAAGAACGTTTTTCAGGTGAATGAAAAAATAATTAAATACCCACCAAAAACTACTGATTTCTGCATTTTGAAATCTCAGAAATTCGTAAAATTTATGAATTACTGAGAAACAAAAAGAATGCACATGATATTTAGGCCGCTCACTAAGGAATGATCACACAGTTTTCCAAACGTTCACCAGCAAGATTGGAAGATAAAGAGCATAATTTATTCTCCGGATTTTCAGTAATTTTGGACAGAAAATAGCCTGAAAACAGCATTTCAGAGCATCTAAATATTAAAATTTTCTAGGCCCCCCTAGAGGCTTGCACCTCCAGTGCTGGCCACTTACTTTGACAACTCAGCTGTCTTCTTCAAAACTTTCTGACAGCCCTGAACTAATGCCAAAAAACATGGCGTGAACAGCATATACACAACCCGATGTAACAACTGCAAGACTTAACATCCCTTATATCCTGAATTTGCCAATGGCAGTAGTACGGACCGAGCGCAGCCACGACCTCGGGCCAATATTCCCCAGTACGGCCCTTGCGCTCGGTTAGTAAGCAGTTAATATATAAAATAAAATTTAAATAAATAAAAATAAATAAATAAATACATGTTGTATAAGTATACACCGATGTAAACTTGTTTTTTAAGTCATTATTAAGTAGGAAATATTTTCAGGAGGGTGTTATCTGCCAATTGAGTAATCGACCTCATTAAAATATTCAAAAAGACAACGTCATCTTGAGGCAAAAATATGATTCTGAATAGAGAAATAAAGTATCCTTATTCATCCCTTGACTAAAAAAAATTAAATATTAACTGCCCCAGGCCAAGTAAAACGGTATGATCCTAGATATATAAGACCTGGAGAATCTCTTATCCCCTGAGTAATCACATTATAATCAGGGTGCAAAGAAAATCATTTTTACAGCTTGCCATTCGGGCAAGCTGAAGCTAGCATTTACTAGCCCAAACGTCATTTCAACTAGCCCTAAAATCGTTTTGACTTGCAGAATTGATTTCACAGTTCTTCCTTTATTCGAATTACTCAAAAAAATCACTTGCCCGTCGGGCAAGTTAAAAACAAAATTCACTAGCCCGATAGCAAAATCCACTAGCCCCGGGCTATCGGACACTACTTTCTTTGCACGCTGATAATCAACAGGGAGTGTTTGATATAATACTAACTTTAGATTGCAGATCATCCACAGCCTTGTCCAAACTTGAATCTTCGTAGTCATAATGCTTGATGGCATCAATAAAACCATCATTCACAAACTCTTTTGCCTGATAAAAATATTAAAAAATGGATGAATGTGTGGAAGAAGAGGTCCCAGCACACTAATCAACATTTTGGTAGAGAATTTATGGCATGCAATTTCTATATAATTGTAAGGAGTACTTCTTGTAGTTCCATGTCATCATCGAAAGTTCTTCATATACTCTTACTAGTGGCTCAGTATGTACAATGAACAAAGAGACCATGCCATGTGCAAAGTGGGTGCTTACAAGATATTTAAAAAAATGAAAGACTATAAAAACATCACGCAAAAAAGTGGTCATGGTCACTTTTGTTATGAGAGCTGGTCATACAAGAGGTTTGTAAAATAACTTCGAATCGTATACTGTAATTGAAATTGCTTTAATTGTCTTTGTGCCTATTTACAGTATAACCTAGCCCCGATGTCGATGTTGAAGAACGTTGCTTGAATCGAATATACATTAATTAGTTTCAAATGTCAATCGATTAGATCAAAGGTTCACTGTACAAACAAAACATTACATAACGAGTCGCAAAAAACGTGACAGTTCACTTGGGTCCGCGTGTAACGTGCGCGAAGAATATGACACTCCCCAAAGTTTATTCACGCCGTGAGAAACTTTCAATGTCCGGATTTATCAAAAAATATATTTACAATAGACTATACAATGTTCATTTGTCGACGGCTGATCTCCCCTATCACAGCCACAGTACGTCGAGGTCGCACAGCTTGATTCGAAACATCGGCAATAGGCCTCGTGTCTTCATTGTTTGTACTTGACTTGACCTCGATTGGAATCAAATGTTGTATGACCCTGCGAAAATAGGTTGGTCGCTTGTCGCTGTTTCCAACTTTGACGATCGCAGCACGAACTTTTCCATCAGCTCCGGGAATAAGTTCCTCAACTCTTGCAATCTTCCAGTGAATTCTATTCGTTGAATCGTTTTTGAGCAACACAATATCTCCAACTGAGATTTCTTGAACGGCATTTTCTTTGTTCCTTGCATTTGACTGTTCACGTAAACTAGTGAGATATTCCTTTCTCCACTGTTTTGTAACTTGCTGTAGTAAATTCTTGTGATTGTGAGCTCTCCTTGTCAATGACTGGTGAGTACTGATAATCTCGTGATGCGCGCTGTTTGGTGTTAATGTGACACGTCGCCCATAAACAAGATCTGAAGGCGTCAACGGATAAGAGATTGAATTCGTGTCGTCGTACACGTAGGTGATCGGCCTTGCATTGATCACTGACTCGATCTCCACCATTAAAGTTCGCAATTGTTCAAAATTCAGAGTTGCTCGACCGAGCACTTTCTTCAGAGGTGTCTTGACACTTCGGACTAAGCGCTCCCAGAAACCTCCCCACCAGGGAGCCCTTTCAATGATGAAGTTCCAGGAGATTCTTTGATTAACGAAGTAACGCAACACTTCGTTGGATCTTGTGATCCTTCTGATCTCCTTACTCGAAGATTTGAAAGTTTTTGCGTTGTCTGATGTAATAGTCGCAGGGAGTCCTCGTCGACTAGCAAATCGTCTGAAGGCCAACAGAAAATCTTGAACGTCGAGACTTTTACATAGCTCTAAGTGTATAGCCCTGGTCGACGCACATGTAAACAAACACACGTAAACTTTGCTTGATCCATTCGCGTGTCCATTGACAATATTTAGTGGTCCCGCACAGTCCAATCCAACATGCGTGAAGGGTGGATCTTCAGACACTCGTTCACTCGGAAGGTCAGGAGTTGACTGAGACTTGTACGGCATTCCATTGATTCGCAGACAAATCACGCAATTTTTGATCACTCGCTTTACTGCTTCGCGACCTCTCAAGATCCAAAATCGCTCTCTTATCGTAGTGAGAGTGTCTCTCAATCCGCAGTGTTTCACTGATGCATGTACTTTCTTGATAACCAATGTAACAAAATCGTGCTTAGCTGGCAAAAGAATTGGATTTCTTGCGCTCCCCAGTAATTCGGCATTGTTTATTCGACCTTTGCATTAATTTTTTTTTAACAATACCATTTTCGAGAAATAATCCAAATTGTGAGACATAAGTCGGCGGCACAGCCTTGTTTTGCCTGTGATCGCGTAGAAACTTGATTTCTTCGTTAAATGAGGATGCTTGCACTGCCTTAATCCAAAGTTCCTCAGCATTAGTTAACTCTAGGGCAGTAAGAATTTCAGTTCCACTACCAGAACTTGACTTGGTTGGCACTGTGCTCTTCAGCTTGTTTACAAATTTAACGACGAGGGCGGTCACGCGAAGCAATTTCGTCAGATCGCTAAATCGCATGATGTCAATTAAATTGTCAACCTTTGGGGTAGTCGGTTCGTTCGCTGTACTGTTCACCAAGGAATGAGTGATATTAACTGCATTGTTTGCAGCTTCTTTAAGCGCTTCTTCATCTCCAAAATGGGTCGACTCATTTGTTGGCCATTCCGTCTCCGGCTGGTATAGAAATTCAGGTCCGTTCGACCAGATTGCATTGTTCGTAAGGTCCTTAGCACTTGTACCCCTTGACGGCAAGTCCGCTGGGTTTTGTTTCCCCGGACAATGACGCCAGTCGTTCTTTGAAGTTAACCTGCGAATTTCGTCCACTCGATGCTGTACGTATTGTTTCCAGGGCTTTTCGTTTCTGATCCAACATAAAGCTGTCGTCGAATCAGTCCAGTAAAAGGTCTTGACATTACCTTCGGTCAAATCAAGGCTGTTTATGAGTCGGGCGAGAATGAGAGCACCCAACAATTCGAGGCGTGGAATCATCTGTCTTTTTAGCGGCGCAACTCTTGTTTTCGAGGTAACTAGACGAACATCGACTCCACCATCTTCATACAGTGATCGGATGTAAACAACTCCTGCATAAGCACGGTTAGAGGCGTCGCTAAATCCATGAAGCTCGAATTGCACAGGCCTTGATCGGAAATAACAGCGGGGTATTTTGACATTGTTCAAACACTTCAATTCGTTCAGTAATGAATTCCAAGTTCCAAGAAGATGTTTTGGTAGGTTGCTATCCCAGTCGATCTTGTCGAGACAGAGTTCCTGAAATAGAATTTTCATTTCCACAGTGCACGGAGTGAGAAATCCCATCGGGTCAAATACCATTGCTGACAACTTCAAAACAGAACGCTTGGTCGCCGGAAGTGACATTCCATAATCACACAAATCAGTGAAGTTGAAGAAAAAATTGTCTTCGACAGTGTCCCAGTTCATTCCAAGAACCTTAACCACTGTGTCGTTCTTCGTTTCAGAATTTCCGGGGGTGATTGATGATTTAGCGTACGACTCATCATCTTCCGCAGTAGCATGGTCAACCGACCCCCCTTGTTCTTGCGAACTCACGCAGGTTTCAATCGATTTCAACAGTGTTTGAGAATTCGAGCTCCATTTTCTCAGGTTGAAACCACCGCTAGCCATAATCTTCTTCGATTTCTGATAAACAACGAAACCGTTCTGGTCGTTCTCTTCGCCAGTTAAAAGATCGTCCACGTACAGGGACTTGCGTAGCAGTTCGTACATTTCGGGTTCACTTTGTTTGTAGAGATTAAGATGATGCACGATGGTTTCGCCAAGGATAGAAGGGGATGGCCTCACACCAAAAACTAAGCGATTAAATCGATATTCATTGATTTCTGGCTTCTCGGCAAGCAGATCTTTGAACCACAGAAAGCGTAGCATGTCTCGGTCATCCGATTTGATTCCTACCATCAAGAACGCCTTCTCGATATCCGCGGTTAGAGCGACGGAGTTCCAGCGAAAACTAGTTAGCATTTTAAAGATGTGAGGAATGTAGTTTTCTCCCACTTCCAAACAGTCATTAAGAGAGCATTCCTCCTTACAGTTCTTCGCAGAGCCATCGTACACGATTCTAACCTTTGTCGTTTCGCGATCTCTTCGCACGACTGCGTGATGTGGTGAGTAGTGAATTCGTCTCGTGCTAAGGTTGCCTTCCCTTGGCGTTTGATCTTCGGTCTCCAGCACAATTTCGACAATCCCGTTCTCTCTTTGCTCTTGAATGATATTGTCGTATTCCTTCAGCAAATTCGGCTCACTCTTCAATTTCGAATGCAAAGATCGTAATCTCGATACACACATCCCATAATTGTTAGATTGTGGTAAACAGTCACCCTTCCAAGGCAGGCCGACTTCATAATGACTACCATTGAACTTAATTTCTCCCTTTCGTTTGATTAATTCGCTTTCACAGTCGGTGTCAACAATTCCTAGGCTTTCAACGTCCCAGAATCTTTTCAGTATGTCTGCCATCTCGCCGCTTTCCTTTGCTCCATTTGAAAAATGCGGCTCTCCAGATATCACCAAATTGGAAACGACATTAGGTTCGTTTTGTGAATTGTTGGTGGGTCCAGAAAGAAGCCAGCCAAATTTGGAAGAGACTGCTGTTGGACCAGAATCGCCTCGAATCGTTTCACCACTGACCAAATCCCAATAATAGTCTGATCCAATAAGGATATCAATGTCTCCACAACTGTCATCCAAACTATCCGCTAGAGCTAGACCCTCCAAATGAGGATAGTTTACTTTAACCTTGGAAGGCAATGGTGAGCAAATAGTGGGATAACTCAAGGCGGTAATTTCGGTTTCTTCGCCAACATGATTTTTAAGTCTCAGTCTAACGAGTTCGCAGCTTTGCCTTTGAAATGAATTCACTCCAAAGGTGTTCAAGTGTAGTGTCTCAGTTTTCATAGGCTTCAAATTCAACTTTGACTTCAAATTGCTTGTTATGTAACTTCGCTGGCTTCCATTGTCAAACAATATACGCACGTGGGACGATTTCGAGTTGTCCTCATTAAAAGCAATACCCTTCGCTGTCTGGAGAAGAACTGTTCCTTTGTTTCTAACAGTGTTCGTTGTAGTCGTGTTGGTAATATCCCCTTCAGGTTGGTTTCTCTTCCTTTCGCTGCTGTCACAAGGTGAAAGCGTCGGGCAAATTGACTGATGATGACCGCGTTGTTTACAATGGCGGCAAACCTTCTCATTTTGGCACGAACTAGCAATATGACCTGGAGCCAAACACTTCAAACATCTTCGTTCTTTCATCAAAATTTCCTTGCGTTGAACAAGATTTTGAACCCTTTCACAGGAGGCAGAATCATGCAATTCCTTGCAATAAACACATCGGGGAATATTTTTCCCGCCATTTTGCTTGGCAAACAACGCGCTTGCGGTGGGAATTGGCGGTTTTCCAGTAGAAGGCTTGCGGTCGTTTTCACTTGTTTTTACTTGTTCGCTGGTTTCTCGAGCTTCAACTTCTTTCTTAATCATTAGTAACAATTCTTCGATTTTCCATACTTCATCCGTTGAGTTTCGAGCCACTTGTAGTCGAATTTCATTAGGCAGTTTAGACATAATTATCGGGATCAACAAGCTTCCATATTGCTCAGGAGATACACCTAACGAAGCTAGTCCTCGTGTGTGAACACTTATCTGGTCGAAAACATATCTTAGCGATGTTGGACGGTCGTTGTGGCATGGTGCTATTTTAATCAATTCGTCCATATGCGCGGTGATAATCTGTTGCGTTTTGCCAAAGCGATCCTGAAGAATTCCCACGGCGTTCTCGTAATTCGAAGCTGTCAATGTTAATCCAGCAATGGCTCTTGCCGCCGGTCCCTCTAACACTGAGTTGAGATAGTTGAATTTATCCACTTTAGAAACTTCGGGGTTGTCATGAACGGCGGATTGAAAACTGTCCCAGAAAGTGTTCCATTTTGTGTATTCTCCTCGAAATTTGGGCAAAGTTAATTTCGGTAGCTTAGCTTTCGCTTGACTTGTTCTCGCCGGAACTTGACTTGTACTCGAATGACCTTCGCTGTGATTGTCTCCTGAACCACTTGATTTTTGTTTCAACTTCAAATCGATTTTTCGTTTGCATGCCATAACCTTTTCTATAGCTCGCTGAGAATCCTCGATCTCGCCCTCGATATCTGTCACATCACACACAGTTAGGATTTGCTGGTCGTAATCGTTTAGTGTTTGCAATTTCGTGTCCAGTTGTTGATAAAGAGACGCTCGTAATCTTCGGTTAAAAGGAATGTGCTTTCCAATATTTCCTCGCCTTGTCTTATCAGCTTTGTTGCTACTCCTCGATGTCCTCCTCTGATCGCTTTTTAATCGTTCCAAATCTTCTGCCATGATTCAACCTTTACCTTTTTGTCGCTTTCGGATCGCTTTCAATCGTTTAGTGGACTTCACTGCCCCACGTTGGGCGCCATGTAAAATAACTTCGAATCGTATACTGTAATTGAAATTGCTTTAATTTTCTTTGTGCCTATTTACAGTATAACCTAGCCCCGATGTCGATGTTGAAGAACGTTGCTTGAATCGAATATACATTAATTAGTTTCAAATGTCAATCGATTAGATCAAAGGTTCACTGTACAAACAAAACATTACATAACGAGTCGCAAAAAACGTGACAGTTCACTTGGGTCCGCGTGTAACGTGCGCGAAGAATATGACAAGGTTCTAATAATAATAATAATATTAGCGCCCCTTGCAATATTTATTATGCTAGGGTTGTGGCTGGGAAAAATTTGATGTTTTGCATGGGTGGTCATAAACAGGAGGTGGTCGCAAATGGAGGTTCAACTGCATATTAAATGATTGATATTGTACCTTGTCCTTGTAAACATAGCCCATTACTCCAGCTGTAACCTCTAAGGCAAACACAATGAGGAGCAGTGCAAAGAACTAATAAGAAAAAAATGTTAATCAAAATTGCATTAGAACTGGAAATATGTCTGAAAAAAGACACCCTAACTAAAGATCAAACATCTACCATGTTCTTATCAGGACTTTTCCATTGGAACCTCCTAGGGCTGTTCTCCTTAAAAAAAGGCACCTCACTTTTGCTCTCGGGTGACTGAGGAACCCTAGTTTTGTCGTTAATTTTAATTTGCTGGACACCTTGGATTTCACATGTTCAGCATACTCGGTTCCCTTCAACTTTTGTTACAGCACAGCATTGGAGCATTGTAAGGTGTTTACTATAAATATTAATCAGCCAGAAGAGAGTCTGACTTACAGTTGAGAGGCAGCATTTATTGTCACGGCAAGTTCCACAGCATCCACATAGTGCAGTAATGAAGATCAAGACTCCAATGCCAACTAGGATACCACAGGGCACAAGTGTGTAAGTGTCTGTGGTGATCTTGGTGATATCACCATACTTCTTAATCACCCATGCCGCTACAAATATAATAGCTGCAGAAACTCCCTGAAAACACACACAGGTTTCATCAGTAAGCCATATTTCATTGAATCACAGTTTGGGCTTGTCCCCAAGTTTACTAACAAGAAGACTACAAGATTGATCATACGCCAAGTTTGAAACCTGAAACAAGCCTGTTAAGGTTAATCAGGGAAAGACAAAACCCATTATAAAAAATAGCACTCAATCTCACTTTTTTGCACTTTCTTTCTTTTACAAAGAACTTGGGCCTAGTCTTAATATGCAGATCAGTGACAATGCGAAACTCTGTGTTTGGTACATTGTGTTCTGCAATTTAACTCATTTGCCCCTGAGCCGCCAGTAACCACCACAGCAGATCCACATCCCTTCTACACACTGCTTGTGCCAGCATCAGTTTTAATGGCCAAGGACAACTTTCTTGGCAAACTTGTGCACAGTGAAGAGATCTTTCACACCATACCAGAATGAGCACAATTCAGTCAAGTATTGATTTTTCGATTACCCTATCTCCTCGAATAATAGCCGTCCCTTGATTAACAGCCTCCCTCGAGTAATCACCTCCTTTTGATGGAAATGTTTAAAATAATCGCCTCCCTTGACCCCCCACCCCTGCAGGTTACCACCTAGGGATAACCATAGAGGTAAACCTGGAGGATGAAGCTAAAGTGGAGTCTGATCCAGCAAAACTGATCAGATTGCAGTAGGACATTGACATTGAAAATAGACCATTTTACAGTTGTGGACTTAGTGCCCTCGCCTTCGAGTGAATGTGAGGCTGACGGTGACCTTGTTTTGATACAAACCCCCTTTGCGTTGTTATTGAAATTGCCCTTGAAAAATACTAGTTAGCATAAGAATAACTTGATTTACATAATAAAGCAGGAAGGTTTGTATCAAAACAAGGTCACCGTCAGCCTTGCTTCCATCCATAACTGTAAATTGGCCTATTATAAAGGAGCCAAATTTGGAACACTTTAAATGCCAATGTTCAGTTTATTGTATGTGATTATTTTTTGATTTAATAGAAAAAAAAGAACTAAATATTTAGGGCACGACTTCCATGAGCAATATTTGAGAAAAATAGTGAACAGCATTGTTTCGTCAATGTTTCGCGAAGCAAGACGGCTACGACGGCTAGGGTTTTTTCGTTGACAGTCAATTTACAAGAAATGTTGAAATCACCAGCTGCTTTAACTGGCATAGTTGGGATTTTAAAAAGATTTAAGATCGACGTATATTACATGTATAGTGCGTATGTATTGTCTGCCTGTTTCGCTTCAGTGAACTGCGGACCGCGAACCGCGGTGGCCGGAGTTGTTGGAGAGTATTCCAGAGGCCGGAATAGTCTTCCCGGTCTTATTTAAAGTTCGGACAACCGTTACGTTTTTGGTTTGCCAAAACTACAGTAGGTTCGGTTTGCTTCACTTTGTTTTCGTTTCGTTAAGGTTTCGTTTCGTTTTGGATTCGTTTCGTTTTGGTTTCGTTTCGCAAAGTACAGTAAGCCCAAAACTAAAACCAGCTGAAACCGTGCAATGGACCGTGTAAAATTCAGCTAAAGATATCGCCCGAGGCTACTGCACGTAGTGCTCAAAGACCAGTCTACTTGAATAGAACACACTACTCACCAAATATATGAAGTTAAAGAAAAACAGGAACGCTTTTGCACAACTCATTGTTGGACTCACACGAGAAATGATTTCTTCTTGAGGCACGCTTTTCTTTTACCAGCTCGCCATTACTTAGCACCTGAAAATAGAAATATTCGTGCGACGGGCATGGAAACTACAATACGTCACTGTCTGAATCTGGAATATGGAAGATCATGTGCTTTCTGCATGACTGGTACCGTTCCTCCAATCGAAGTGTTGCTTTTGGGCGGTGTCTCCACGTTGGTGATTGAGGTGAAAGAGAGGACTAGAACAAGTCAAAAAAAAATTTTCCAGCCAAAAGATCCCCCATACTCCACAGAGTTAGTGTGAAATACACTAGGGCGCGTGAAAATCACTCGGGCAAGAAAAGGCGAGACGCGAATGTACTAATTCTCTCCTTGCCCCCCGTTCAACATTTCCTGTAGCCTGTTATGTTCCAGGCGTTCAGATAGTAGAGCGCGGAGGGTACAATTTAACTCGCTCCCCACTGACCGTAGCCTCCCACGCAGGCGTTTTTAGGGGAGCTCGTGGGGAGGGACGAAATACGAGCTCCGCTAAAAACGCCTGCGTGGGAGGCTACACTGACCGCCGTGCTCTACTATCTGAACGCCTGGAACCAGAGAAAACCGTTTTTCAGTGCAACCCATAAAACGGCCATAAATCGGCCAATGGACCACACAGGAGAGACGTAACACACATTTTTTTATTTAAGATAAGCTGTTTTTATTGAAATCCTTTCATTTTCGTAGGTCACGGAAACGATAGGTTTTTTTCCCATACAAATCCTTATATTTCGAATGTTACGCAACAATACCGATGTTCGCCGATGCCCATATTTCGATGATAAAGGATTAAATTACCGGCAAAAACCGTGGACGAAGATCCTGCTAGTTGTAAACGTTGGATTTCGAGCTTGGGCTACCTGTGCTGGAACAGGCTTCATTTCATGCGAGAGCAGACACCCTTAAGGGATCAATACTGTTAATTGTTGATAAGATGACAACAAGTAGGAATCCACTAAATACACATTGGTATATAACTAAAGGGAGGGGGAGAAGAAAGGTTAAGAAAGTTTCCTGGCTGCCCCGCCTACTGCGCGCCATTTTTCGCTTGGTGGGGGTCTGGGGTTGCGCCTCGGTACCAGGCTCGCAAACACGTGTCAGTCAGTTGTCAGAGTTGATGTTTATTTCTTTCACGACCAGCAGTTATCTGAATTTTCAGCTACGCGGATTGAAACAACTTCTCTCGCAGTCAGCGTTTCTTCAGGTAAAACTCATTTTTAAAAATATGTTACAACAGAACGGGGAACGTAGAAGCAAGACAGACGACGAACGACAGAGTCTGATCGAAAATACGACGCGTTCTTTGTCCAGCTGCTTTGTCGGGCTGCCTTGTTTGCACAATGGGTCAAAGAACTTCGTTTTGAAAAGATTACTTTCACTTTTAAGTTTCGACCTAAACTTAAATGTGTCAGAGATAGAAATACTCGAAGTTTATTTTTGAACTGTCCAGTCTATAAAAAAAATTGTAATTCGTTTAAACGGGAAAAGCGTTTTGACGGTTTGGCATCAGACGAGAGTCAAAACAAGGGATATATTCGAATAAAGACGTACAGACATTTCTCTCTTAAATGGAGAATTTCAAGACCTACGATACAGGTGTTTGTCACTTTCTGCGGAACATAAGTTTCAGGGTTTTTAATAAACGTAAGAAGACTGTTTTCAGCGTTTTTGAACAGATGTACGTTTTCACTCTTCATAACTCTGTTGAATTTTTGAAAATTTCCTTGCTGTACAATTCTGTTTATGAGATTAGTCTGCCCTCTTTTTTATAGACTGCTTGAAATGAAGCAAATACAGCTTATGCGTTTCTAAATTCATTTACATACGGAGGGCTGTCAGCCCCCCAAGGAGGGATGATAGGTAACATCATAATGCACAAATATACATGATGTCATTTATGCCAAAAATACTCGTTGACTCCGATCGTCACAAATTTGCGATGACACAAAACGCGCAAAAAAGATGTTGTTGGCATTGTTGCTTTTTTGCTGATTGGTTTAATTCAGTTTTACCAATCACTTTATTATTACAGTGGCGTTCCGAAGTTTACAAGGAAATGGTCATTGGAACATTATAATAGCTCAAACAATTGATGCAAAATTGCTATTTGAAATTTTGTTGTCGGAAAGTCGGGTCTACTGAAGAAATGGCAAACTTCGGAGATTATTGGGGAGATTTCATAGTCTTATCTGGAGCCCAGGAGAGACGGTCCGAAATGTGGAGTCTTCCAGGTTATCCGGGAGAGTTGATGCCTTTGTTGCTTTTGTTGAAACATGATTTTGCTTTTTTAAATGGTTTTTATTTTATAATCCACTCAAAATACAGTGAAAATAGATCAGGAGCGATTTTTTAAATTTAAAGTTTTGAATTGATCGTTGCTTTAAAAGCCGCCATATCTTAACCATCTGGATTTGTGTTTTGTGGTTCAATTTTATCTTTGTTTAAAGTCCACTTTCCTTTGTTTTTGGATCTGGTGACATATTATCATATATCACATATCTGGTGTGCTGTCACACTAGCGATTTTGCCCACGGGCAAATGGCTGATTGCCTATGGGGAAGCCAGTTCTGTGTGTGACCCATTTCCCTAAGGTGAAACCACTTTAGGATGGAGTTTGCTTTTCTTTTAAGCGTGAATGAAGTTGATGTCTTCCTTTTTAGTCTCAAAATTAAGGGCTGAATCGCTATTGCCAAGCTTAATTGTTGTGATGGTTTTATTAAAAGGATAAAAGTGGTTGAAACAGTTTACGATTTATGTCAGTCTTCAACTTGTACGACGACTTTTCCCGCGTAACCGGGGTCAAGTCTTTTCTTCCCCTTGGGCAATTTATCGCTGTGTGGCCACAATCATAAAAGTGATCAGAACCGAGAGTGAGCCCAACCCAAGCTATTTCCCTATGGGAAGACTTCTAGTGTGACCGCACCTATTCAGGGTGCAAAGAAAGTCAGTTTTACAGCCTGCCATTCAGGCAAGCTGTGGCTAGCATGTACTAACCCACAAGTCATTCCAACTAGCCCCAAAACCCTTTTTGATTAGCAGGATTGATTACAATCCTTCTGTAATTTGAATTTCCCCAAAAAGCAGCACTTGCCCGTCGGGCAAGTTAAGAACAAAAATCTCTAGACAAGTCTGATAGCAACATCCACCTAGTCTAGCCCCAGGCTATCGGACACGACTTTCTTTGCATGCCGCTATTAATAATTTTATTTATAGTAATGGGTCAAAACAAAGGAAAATGTATTTTAAACCAGGGATAAATTTCACCACAACACATACAACTTTCCAAAATGGCATCAAAGTGTTACTTTCTTTTATACATGTATTTGTGTTAATATTAGTCCCCTTTGCCTCAATAATTGCATCTGCAAAATTCAAATGACAGATCTTTTACCTTAAACCAAGACATTGCAAACTAGCTAGATATATATATATCATGAAAACAAAAACAAAAAAATGGCACAGTTTTGTTATATATTCCCTGTTAAACTTCTCATAATGATTTATTCAGAGAACTAGGGGTGGTTACATGCACTGCAAACAGACTTTACTACAAGTACATGTAGTTATTTATTGCCGTCGTTGAAAAGGCAACTGCGGTTTCTTGAATGCATTCTGCAGAACCAGGGTTATCTACCAAATAAAAAATAATTAGTAATTAAGCAACATTTAAGGTCAAGGTATCAAAATTGTAATCAACCAATCAAGCTGCAATGTGCATGCTTTGCTTACCTCATACTTCAAGTGAGTCGAACTCAGGGGTTTCTCCACTGGTCATTTTGGTCAGTAAAAGAAGGGGCTAACAGGTGCACTTTAGTTTTTGGCTGTGAAAAAATTAAGAAAAGTTTCTGGTTTTGTGATTTATTCACACATGATTTATTTATAAAAGGCAACACATCTACTGCAGTTAAAAGGTATGCAAAGTTCTGAGCTAGGTATGTGGGAGGGGTACGGTACCATTTGCCAATGGAAGGTATACAAAAAGGGTACCTTTTCTGTCAAACATGGGATATAAAAGGGTAAAGGAGTCTGACCATGGGGCGGCGCCTCCCTGTATAAATCTTTCTTGAGCGCCCCTCCCCCCCCCCTTCTCCCTGGGAGAAGGTAGCCTAGTAAGCCTAACTGTAGAGAGGTTATTGGGAATTGATAGATCTAGAACTAGGCTATGTAAGGCTTGTGACTAATTTACAATCGAGTCTCTTGTAATCTCTCAGATACCACTCATCTTGGAACTATAGTCATGGACTCCTTACCAGCAGGTGCTCCTGTGAGATTTATCAGAGACACTGAAACTAAGCTGAAAGCTCACCACAAGAGTTTGGCCAGATCCTCACTTCCACATGGTCTGTTTCTGATGCCATCAGCTTTAGGATATGGTAGACTCGGAGTTTTTACAACAAAGCCAATTGACGGGCGCGTTATTTTTGGTCCTTTTAAGGGAAGGAAACTCTCTTCAGCTGATGTAACAGCCCACATTGATTATTCTAATTCGTGGGATGTAAGTACTGATATTGTATAAGATCACATTATACCAAGGAAGTTAACTTTCCTCAGAATGATATCGTATGAATGTATACAGCGTCGGGCCGCCAAGGAAACAATTCTGAGGCTGTCTAAGAGAAACCGGTCGTTTCGATACAAAGTAGTTCGATACAAGTTAATTCCTTCGAGGTGTAAATACTTTCCCGTACTTGGCTTAAAGAACAAAGAACATTCTCCTAAAATATTTTTCTTGTTCAAGTGCAAACTTTACTTTAAGTGATCGAAATGTTTGTGCAATTTCACTGTTTGCAAGTTCGTATCGAAACGACCGGTTTCTCTTCACTATACTGGATAGCTTCTGGGCCGACATAAAAAGATTAGTATGCAGAAAGGTTTCCTCTGCAATTTATTTACAACATCACACATTTGGATTTGTACAAGGATGACTTCACAGATTACTTAGATCTTGAAGCTATTAAAAAAATGTGCTATTCTTTCATTTTTCAGGTAGTTAAGACTGAGACTTCTGAAGACTACTTTACTATTGATGCCTCAGATGAACAAAGTAGTAACTGGATGAGGTTTGTTAATTGTGCTCATAGCGAGGACCAACAGAATCTGGTTTCATTCCAGCAAGGTGGAGAAATTTACTACCGCACATGTAAAGCTATCGACAGTGGTAGTGAGCTGCTTGTTTGGTTTGATGACTTCTTCTATACAAAGAATAGTTCAACCCAGGCGTTTCACAGCTCATCTTGTGAAGGTGAGCGACTTATAGTTATAACTTTTGCACTCAAGAGCCTCAACAGAAAGGAAGTGAAAACTTTGATTTGGTAAACATAAGCGAATAACTAGTATTTCCACGAAACCTAATCATAGCTCAATCGAAAATTGTGTTTGTCTTTTCTTCAGGGCGGAATCATTTTGTTTGCAAGAACTGTAACCTGGTATTCCTTGGACCATCGTATCTCCACCGCCATAAAGAACGTAGGTGTCCTATGCTGAGTGAAATTAGCCCCTTGCAAACGGAAGACAATACACATGTAGAATCAACAGCGGATAACAAAACGCGAACCTCTGAGAGAAGTGTAAACACCGAAACAACCTCTGCAGCTTCTCCATCGAAGGAATACCAGTGTAGTCAGTGTGACATGAGTTTTAAGACATCGAAGCTGCTACTAAAACACTATCGTGTCCATACAGATGACTTTCCTTACAAATGTTGGACATGTGGTGAGGGTTTTAGGGACAAATATTCTAAACTTAAACACACCGAGAAACACAAAGGAAAGTTGAAATGTTACGATTGCGGAAAGAGGTACAGTCACAAGTCAGCTTTTCAAGCTCATGTATGTCATGGCGGTGCGAGCAGGGGACACAAAGCGTTTAAATGCGAACTGTGTGAAAAGACTTTCAAAAATAAAGACTGTCTTCAAAATCACATGCCTACGCATTCAGAAGTGCCTCAGTTTAGTTGCGACGTTTGCGATAAGCAGTATACTCATAGATCGGCCCTGTATAGGCACAAGCGAATTCATACCTTGAATGACGAGACTTCCCATAGATTGACTGATCCTGACATTATTCGTTGTATTGTTTGCCAAAAAGTGTTTGGTGATGTGAATACTCTTAAGGTACATCAAAGAACTCACTCTGGAGAAAGACCTTTCAAGTGTACACAGTGTGGAAAATACTTTGCGCAAGGTTCAACTCTTGTCGGGCATTTACGAACGCACGCGGCCCATCCTCACAAACCATTCAAGTGTAGCGATTGCGGAAAATGCTTTGCACGTGTGGCCGATTTTCACATACATCAAAGAATACACACTGGTGAAAAGCCATACGAATGTGACCAATGTGGAAAGCGTTTTCGACTAAATTCCTCTCTCTCTAAACACAGGCAGGTCCATCTCCCTGTAGAGCTCAGAGCGGCTAACGCAAAGAAGAACGGTTCAACAGTTTGGAATTGTGAGTACTGCGGTAAGGTGTTCACCATCAACTCACACTTTCGAAGGCACGAGCGCACGCACACGAAACCCTTCAAGTGTGCACACTGTGATAAGCGTTTTTCTCGAAAGGAAGATCTTGCGCTGCATCGTGAGGCTCACAGCAATGAAAAACACGAATGTTGGGTTTGTGGGAAGATTTTTATTAGTTTCGATAAAATGAGAACTCATATCTGTATACATACTGGGGAGAGGCCATACACTTGTCCTGTCTGTGAAAAAGGATATATATGCCATAAAAACTTCAGGAGACATGTGCGTTCCCACAAAACGCCTTCAAGTTAAGTGAGGATATCAACGTACATACATACATACATACATACTTTATTGAGACTTCCTTCAACAGGGCTTTTCAGTCACAGTGTTAATTATTACATAATACTGGTAATTAAGAAAAGAAAAGAAAACTTATTTACAGTAGTTGAATTAACTTCAAAATACATTCAAAATTATTCAAAATATATTCAAAATTATTTCGTATGAAATATCCTATTAAAAAGTCTCCGCTTATAACTATCAATATCTTTAGTGTTCCTAATATTGTCAGGTAGCCCATTCCATTCCTTTGGACCCCGAAAATAAAATGCCTTTTGTCCCATTGATAGTCTACATCGGGGGACCACAAAATTGTTACATCCCCCTGTGTTCTTGTTGTGAACTGCTGAACGTTTAATAAAATATATACCTAAATAATCTGGAGCTAAGCCATTTACACATTTGAATACTAACACTAAGTCATTAAATAGAACCTTCTCCGTAACATCTAACCATTTAAGAGATCTCCGTCCCTGGGAGATATGGCCAAACTTATTTAAACCTAATACAACTCTGGAAGCAAAATTTTGTACCAACTGCAGTTTGTGTAGGTTACGTTTAGATGTGTTCCCCCATACTGAGGAACAATAAAAACGTTTACTGAAAACAAAGCTATTTATAAGTAATAAAAGGGTTTTCCTATCCAAAAGATGTTTAATTCTACCTATCTGTACCAACTGGTTCATGCAGCTAGAGACTATTTTAGTAACATGTACATCAACGTCACAGGTTGGGGGTTTGCAGAAGGATCCTCCAAAGAAAAAACTAGGCAAACACTTAAATTTGCTAACAAAATACAAGAGTATAAAAATTAAGAAAATTAAAGAAATAGAAAATATATATACACAAATAGAATAAAGTCGTCTCCTTCTTAACCGTCACCTCTATAAAACGGACACCTAGAATTAATAATAATAATAATAATAGTAATAAGAGTTTGTATTCACAACAAATAAAGTAACAACATTTGTGCGGCTTTACAAAATATGGTTGTATTAACAATTGAAAGTTAAAAATCAATCACAATTAGGCAAATTGAAAGAGACTTCTATTAATAGAAGATCTTTTAAAACGTTCCGTATTGACTACGGGTAAAATAAATTTATGCTCTCGATCTCGCGAAGATTTGTCTTTTAGTGGGCAACGGCTCGAAAAGGGTATGCGAGGAATTCTCTGTAATAGTTTTCCATAACTTGCCGTCCAGATTTCTAATAACCTCAGTTATCACATATAAGTTGTTTGTATATCCGAACTTAAGGGCACGTTTAAAAAATTGTCAATACGATCAAGATATTTGCCTTGAGAGGCAGCACCCCAAATTTCGATCCCGTATAACAACCGGGGCATAATTAACAGATCAAATAATTTTGTCAGTTGATCTTTAGGGTATCCAAAATGGTTACAGACGCGTAAGATGTATAAACGGCTACTAACAAGTTGTATAACAAGTTTCATAACAAGTTGTCAGCATGAAGGTCACAGTCCGATGGATTCTCCTCAAAAATTATGCCAAACAGTTTCAACCAGCATTTACATTCAATCCCTTTTGCCAAAGGTGGAAGTGGTTTAGAAATCCTGCCACGTACTACCATCTCCCATCCTCGGAGACTCATCGGCAGATAGTGGGGGCGAGGGAAAGTCTAAACAGGCGAAAAAATATATATGGAACGAAGAAAAGTAAAGAACGGCGAAAAGAGCCCCTGGGGACAATGTCTTACCAGACCAGTTCCAAACGGTCGCCGCCGTTCTGGCTTCTGATTGGTGCCAGAAAAACACAAGTTTTCTGGCGCCAATCAGAAGCCAGAACGGCGGCGACCGTTTGGAACTGGTCTGGTAAGACATTGTCCCCAGGGGCTCTTTTCGCCGTTCTTTACTTTTCTTCGTGCCACAATTTTCCGCCCGTTTAGACTTTCCCTCGCCCCCACTATCTGCCCCTGGGTCTCCGAGGATGACCATCTCCCAGCTCCTTTTTAGGTTTAGTTTCATACGGTTTTTTACCGCAAAGTTTTTAATACTATTAACCTAAGTGAAAGAGTGATCTTGATCTGCTGACACGCGCATACTAAGCGTAACTGAGATCACCAGCATATTTGACCAGTATCTGGACCAGTAGATTGCGCTCAGGGTCGACCGGTGTTATGTCGTTTACCATAACAGAGAACAATACAGGCCCGCGAACCGTACCTTGCGGTACCGCTCTGTTGACGCTAACAATTTTGGTGACAAAGCCACCCACGACTACTCTCTGTTTCTTGTTACTAAGAAAGCTGACGATCCAATTGATCACAAAAGGATTGATATTGAGTGACCTTAGCTCACCGCCAACAATAGCGTGTGGAACACTGTAAAATTCCTGCTGAAGTCGAAGGAAAAAACGCGTACGAAGTCTGTTACCCCGTCCAACCATTTTGATCGATAGTGATGACAAGTAAGGAGCGCCGTGGTTGTGTCACAGCCTTCCCCGTAGGCAAACTGGTCTTGGCCAATGGCAGTTTTCGACTCCGACAGAGTTGGCTCCCGCCTTTCTTTACTCCCCTTATTTGACCCTCTATAAGACGGACATCTCTCTAAGACGGACACTTAATGTCGGTCCTAAGGTGTCTGTCTTAGAGGTGGTTGGCTTTAAGTTCGTTACGAATCATAAGAGAGCTTAGAGCGGCTAAAGCAAAGAAGATAGGTTCAACAAGTACTACGGTAGGTCATATACCATCAACTCATACTTTCGAAGGCAGAGACATATACAGCTATTTCCAGAAAGGTTGTCGGATAAAGTGAACGCGACAAACCCGAAAGGTATTGTAGGTGGTCTTGAGTTCACTGTTTTTCAAAGAAATTTGAAAGAATGGCAGGTGATGCCATGGAAATATGTCTGCGAGTGATGAACGAAAGCAACAAAAGTAGGTTCGACAGCCACAGTCGTCAGGAACAGTCAGTAGATTGCTACTCGGGCATTTAAGAGAGATTATATCTTTGTGAACTTTGTTTTTCCGGCTAAAAGGCTGTTGATGCCCTCCCACATTTTTTTGGTATTGGTAAAGTTTTCTTCAGAATATTTGTGAAAATACATCTTTTTGCTAATTCGCGTGAGCATCAACACTTTATTCCGATAGAGTTTGTAGGCGGCGGTGTCCCCCGAACAATAAAGATCATTTTTTAGGGACCGGTCATTATTTATCACCTGGGGGGGTACCTATCTGTACCAACTGGTTCATGCAGCTAGAGACTATTTTAGTAACATGTACATCAACGTCACAGGTTGGGGGTTTGCAGAAGGATCCTCCAAAGAAAAAACTAGGCAAACACTTAAATTTGCTAAAAAAATACAAGAGTATAAAAATTAAGAAAATTAAAGAAATAGAAAATATATATACACAAATAGAATAAAGTCGTCTCCTTCTTAACCGTCACCTCTATAAAACGGACACCTAGAATTAATAATAATAATAAGAGTTTGTATTCACAACAAATAAAGTAACAACATTTGTGCGGCTTTACAAAATATGGTTGTATTAACAATTGAAAGTTAAAAATCAATCACAATTAGGCAAATTGAAAGAGACTTCTATTAATAAAAGATATAGACACAAATAGAATAAAGTCGTCTCCTTCTGAACCGTCACCTCTATAAAACGGACACCTAGAATTAATAATAATAATAATAATAAGAGTTTGTATTCACAACAAATAAAGTAACAACATTTGTGCGGCTTTGCAAAATATGGTTGTATTAACGATTGAAAGTTAAAAATCAATCACAATTAGGCAAATTGAAAGAGACTTCTATTAATAGAAGATCTTTTAAAACGTTCCGTATTGACTACGGGTAAAATAAATTTATGCTCTCGATCTCGCGAAGATTTGTCTTTTAGTGGGCAACGGCTCGAAAAGGGTATGCGAGGAATTCTCTGTAATAGTTTTCCATAACTTGCCGTCCAGATTTCTAATAACCTCAGTTATCACATATAAGTTGTTTGTATATCCGAACTTAAGGGCACGTTTAAAAAATTGTCAATACGATCAAGATATTTGCCTTGAGAGGCAGCACCCCAAATTTCGATCCCGTATAACAACCGGGGCATAATTAACAGATCAAATAATTTTGTCAGTTGATCTTTAGGGTATCCAAAATGGTTACAGACGCGTAAGATGTATAAACGGCTACTAACAAGTTGTATAACAAGTTTCATAACAAGTTGTCAGCATGAAGGTCCCAGTCCGATGGATTCTCCTCAAAAATTATGCCAAACAGTTTCAACCAGCAGTTACGTTCAATCTCTTTTGCCAAAGGTGGAAGTGGTTTAGAGATCCTGCCACGTACTACCATCTCCCATCCTCGGAGACCCATCGGCAGATAGTGGGGGAGAGGGAAAGTCTAAACGGGCGAAAAAATATATATGGAACGAAGAAAAGTAAAGAACGGCGAAAAGAGCCCCTGGGGACAATGTCTTACCAGACCAGTTCCAAACGGTCGCCGCTGTTCTGGCTTCTGATTGGTGCCAGAAAAACACAAGTTTTCTGGCACCAATCAGAAGCCAGAACGGCGGCGACCGTTTGGAACTGGTCTGGTAAGACATTGTCCCCAGGGGCTCTTTTCGCCGTTCTTTACTTTTCTTCGT